TGATGTGCTGATCCTAAAATACATATGGAAATGCAAGGAACCCATAATAGCCAAAACAATCTTGAGAAAGAAGAACAGTTGGAAGACTCACACTTTCTAATGTCAAAACTTACTACAAAATCTTTAGTGATTAAACTAGTGATGTACAGATATAAAGATCAATGGAATTGAACAGAGTCCAGAAATAATCCTGCACTTTTATGATTCTGGTAAGCAGAATAATAGCTCCACTCCATAAAAAACGTCCATGTTTTAATTCCTGGAAGCTGTGAATGAATATATTAAGGTATATAAAAAGGAGAAATTATGTCTGCTAATGAGCTGACTTTAAAATAGATTATCCTGGACTGTCTGCCTGAGCCCAATGTAATTACAAGTATCCTTGAAAGTTGAAGAAAAAGGCAAAAGAGGGAGGGTCAGAGGGAGATGTGACTATAGAAAAAAGGGCACAGAAATAAGGGGACCACAAACTAAGGAATGTGGGTTTCTTGGGTCATTTTCTGTTGCATTAACAAAATACCTGTGTCTGGGTACTTCATAAAGAAAAGAGGCTTATTTTGTGCATAGTTTTGGAGGCTGGAAATCCAAGATGAGTGACCCCATCAACTCTGTCTCTATTGAGGGCCTTATGGAAGAGATATCATAACAGCAAAACACATGCAGAAGATAATACAGGGTGAGACAGGAAGCCAGAGGCATTCAGGAGCCAAGCTTACTTTCCTTTTAATGATCCATTCTCACAAGAACTAACTCACTCTGTGAGACTAGCATTAATCCCTTTCAAAGGTGATGCTCCTATGACTTAATTACCTTGCACTAGGTCCTACCTCTGAAAGATCCCGTCACTTCAACACCTCAAGACAAGGGACCAAGCTTCTGACACCTGAAACCTCTGGGGGATACTCACACCATATCCAAACCATAGGTGTGGATGCCTCTAGAAGCTGTAAGCAGGGAAATGGGTCCTTAGACCCTCCAGTAAGAAACGTGATTTTAGCCCAGTGAAAGCCATGTTAGACTTGTTATTCACAACTGTAAAATAATAAATTTGTTTGTTTTAAGTCATTGTGCATGAGATAACTTGGTACAGAAGCAACAGGACACTAATAAAATTATCAACTGATGTTTGATAAGTGTGTCAAGATAATTCAATGGGGGAAGAATATTCTTTTCAACAAATGGTTTTAGAACAACTGATTACTCACATGCAAAAGAATGAATTTGAACTTTTGCCTCTCTTCATATACAGAAATGAACTATGTCCATAGCCATACCACCCTGAACTCTGAGATCTCGTGTGATCTCAGAAACTAAGCAGAGTCAGGCCTGGTGAGCACTTGGATGGGAGACTGCCTGGGAATACTGCATGCTGTAGGCTATAAATAAATAAATAGAAATTAATTCTCACCATATACAGAAATTAACTCAAAATGGATCATAGACTGTTAAAAATTATTCAATGATACTTGATAAAGCATGATAAGGAAGTCATCAATCAGGACCATTTTCACAGCTGTAGGCACCGCTGCCACAGGCTCTTAGGATGGGAAAAGGAGATGGGGCTCTATTCCCAATAAGCAAGTGGGGCTTCCTAGCTAAGGAGCAGTGTGAGGAGAGTAGAGGGAAAGTTATAAGAGGGAGCATCAGGAGTAAGGGCATCCTGACTAAATCAACCCAACGGGATTTCTGCTGAAGACAGGGCTGCGTGACCAGACACCACCTGGGAGATGGTTGAAGTTGAAGAACCTGAACAAGTATTAAGAATGATCATGGGCTGGTGGAATGGCTCAAGTGGTAGAGTGCCTGCCTAGTAAGCGCGAGGCCCTGAATTCAAACCCCAGTACTAAAAAGAAAAAAAAGAATGATCAATACCAAGATGGCAGGGGGAGTTCTGGCTAACCTGACTTAGCATTCTTTGCTAGGATGAACTGAACAAAAGGACTTAGCAGAAGATTGAGAAGCCTGACTAAAGTTTGGCCAATCAAAAAATCTTAGTTAAGACCTAAATGTGAGACCTGAAACTGTAAGTCTTAGAAGAAAACATGAGCAAATCATTTTGACCCTAGGTTAAACCTTGGGTTTCTTAGATAAAACTAAATTTTTAAACATTTTTCCTCTGCCAAAAATAAGCAAGAAAAGACAAAACAGATAAATTAGACCCTATCATTTTTTTGGGGGGTGGGTACTAGGGTTTGAATTCAGAACCTCTTGCTTGCTATGCAGGTGCTCTACTGCTTGAGCCATTCTGCCTGCCCAAATTTTTAAAAATGTGTGCATAAAAGGCCATCAAGAAAGTAAAACAAGCCGGGTGCTGGTAGCTCAATCCTATAATCCTAGCTACTCATAAGGCAGAGATCAGGAGGATCATAGTTTGAAGCCAGTCCGTGCAAATAGTTTGTGAGACCCTATCTCAAAAACACTCAACACAAAAAAGGGCTGGTGGAGTATCTCAAGGTGTAGGCCCTGAGTTCAAACCCCAGTACTGCCAAAAAAAAAAAATAATAATAATAATAATAAGAAGAAGAAGAAGAAGAAGAAGACAAGGGCTGGTGATGTAGTTTACTGGTAGAGTGCTTGCCTTATACACAAGGCCCTGAGTTTGATTCCCCAGCACTGCAAAATAATTAAAATAAGGAAATTTCCCTACCATATGCATTCCTGTCATGATGCCATCCACCATGATTCAAAGGAAGAAAGAAAAACAGTAACCCATAGAATCAGAGAAAATATTTGTAAATCATATACCTGATAAGGGATATTTTTCTAGAATATATATAGTTTTTCAACAATAAGATAAAAATTAATTAAACGATGGGTCAAAGATCTGAATACGAATAACTCACAAGCACAGGAAAGATGGGTGATATAATTGGTCATTAGGAAGATGTAAATGAAAACCACAAAATGACACCATGTCACACCCACAGCACTGCTAAAGTCAAAAGGACAGGCAATAGTTCATGTTGGGTAAGGAGAAGGAAAAACCGGAACCTTCATGCCTTGCTGGTAGAATTGGAAAAAGGCACAGACAATTTGGAAGACAGTTTGGTAGTTCCTCAAAATCTTATAGAGTCACCATTTGACTCAGCAATTCTACTCCTACGTATCTACTCAAGAGAAGTGAAAAATACATGTCCACATAAAACTTGTACAAGAATATTCATAGCAACACTATCCATGATTACCAAAAAAAGTAGAAATAACCAAAATGTCTACCAGTTAAGGAATGGATAAACAAAATATGGTCTATCCATAAAAAGGAATATCATTTGGCAATAAAAAAGAATGAAGTAAGGATGAATGATGTTTTTAAACATGCAAAGCAAAAGAAAACATAGCCTTAAAGCCACTCATAAGAAATACCTAGAATATGCAAATCCATAGAAACACAGAGACTTGTGGTTTCCAAGGGCTGGGAGGAGTGAGGAATGGTGAATGACTGTTAACAGATCAAGGATTTCACTGTGGTGGGGGCAAAAATATTTTAGATTGTGGAGATGTTTGTACAACCCTGTGAACACACTAAAACACATTAGACATGTTAACTGGATGGATTGTATGGTATGTGAATTAATAAATAGTAAGAAAATAGCTGTTAAAACATATAAGAAGTGTATCTCAAGGGGAAAATGCATGGAGCCTGAGCCACTCCTCAGAAAGCAGAGGAAAGGCAGAAGTTGAGAGGAGGGCTCAGCCTAGATGGGCTTGGTGGCTGGGGAGGACTGATGGAGGAAAAGGTGAGAGCTGTAAGGGTGGGGGTGAGGGCTCCGAGGGGAAACTGAGTACACCCAACAATTTTGCCTGCTTCACAATTTTGCCAAGGACCAGCCTTTGCCTGATCCCTGAGAGAAGGGTCTGGAGTCTTGAAGAGGAGATTCTATGATGTCAGCATCTGACGTTTATGACATAGGCACTGGATGCTGGGGAGAACTGCCTTCAGGGAATGGGTCCCCAGCTCCCACTAGGGGCGGCAACGCCGCCCCTTAGACAGAGTCTTGGTCTCCCCTGAGCCTTTTACCAGTGGCACTCCTGCTGCTGCTGCTGCTGCGTGCATAAAAAGCATCTCAGCCAGGGTGAGGCTGAGCCAGAGGACAGCAGCATTAGGGGAGACGAGAGTTCAGGGGAACCAGTGTGGCAGGAAACCAGGATGCTTGCAGAATCTCTGTATCAGGATTAGGAGGACAAAACCCTGTACCACAGACGACCTCCTCCTGGCTAGAAGGACTGAGGGCAACGCTTCAGCAAAATTCTGGTCAGAGTGAGTTTAGGGTGACAGAGGCTGGAGGCAGAGGGAGGTATATACACTGTTTGGTGACTCTGCTCCTCTCTCTCCCAGATCCCCTTTTGAACTGAAGTGCCTGTGAACACAGCCCAGGAAGACTCATTGGTAAGACCTCATAGCACCAGAACACCCTGCGTTCCCCTTCTCAGCTTAGGTCCTGTCCCCCAAGTCCCCTCTCAAACTCCACCTCCCCTCCTCCTCCACTTCTTTCTCTGGAGCATTTTGTCAGCTTTTCTGACTCCAAAAGTGAGAAAGTTTTAGGGTCTTGATGTGCTCAACATGGAACTAACTAGGCATCCAAGGCAGAGTCCAGAAAAAATAATCCTCCTAATATTTAGTCTGTCTCTTTCTCTGCAGGTCCTATGGGCTGTGTCTTCTTCTCAGTCCCACCCAGATAGTCACCACTGTTCCTCAACTCCTAAGAGACAGCTGATTCCCCTCCCATACATCCCTCACCAGTGGCTGGCTGCGAAGAAGTGAGAATCCAAGCTTAGACCCAGGCTCCTGTCTGAGCAGTCCAGAGCCAGGTGCCACAGGGCTAGGCATCCCTTGGGCCACAGTTGATGACTGCAGCAACATCAGACTGGAGCCATACTGCAGAGAGAAGGCAGCCTTGATTCTCAGCCACAGCTGGCCTCAGAAATCCTGTTCCTGACTCTGCTAGGTCTCTTATCTGTGGTCTTGTTGCCCCGCCCCCGTCTCTTCTGGATTCAGGGCAATGTTGCCTCAAAACAAGAATCAGGTGCTGCTACAGAAAGCAGTGCCCCCCAAGTGCCCCTCTCAGGGCCTCTCACAATTTGTGGACTCCCCTCTGCCCCACACATCATCTCTCCCTCCTCATCAGTCCCTTCCTCCTCCTCATCTACCTATCTCTTCCACACAGTCTTATCTTCCCCATTCCCCAACTCCTCGGCCCTGCTCTCTGGGTCCCCATTTCTACTCTTCTGACTCAAATTCTGACTTTGTTCCACACCCTTACTCTTCCACTCTCCCAAGTTCCCCCACTTTCTTTCACCAGAACTATACGGGTCTCTCTCCTCCACATTCCTCCTCTCCCTCCAATCACCAGCTGTATCTCCCTCCTCCTCTTATCCACTCCTCCTCTCCTTCCCACCTCCAGAACCACTCTCCAGACTCCCCTTGCCAGTCTCCTTCCCACCCCAAGGACCTACATAGTTCCACATTCACTTCCCCTAGCCCCAGCCTACCTTCTGCAGGGGTCCACTCTAGCAGGCAGACATGGCAGTGGCCTCAATCCAGAGACACCGAGTCCCCTGGGGTGGTGAGGGGATGTGTAGCAAGCGAGAGGGACCCTGCAGAGTTCAGGGACCCAGGAGCCCTGGCCCAGGCCCTGGTGGCCCATCTGGGGTACCGCCGTATTGCACATGACCTGCGGCTACTCCTTCTACAGCACCTGTGGCTAGGCAGAACCGGCCAGGCCCCAGTCGTGGAGTATCCCATATGCCTGGTGTGCCTCCGACCCCGCAGTCCTTCTTGCCCCATGCCCAGGTACAGGACTGGTCCCCGGCTGCTTGCCTTCCCCCAACTACTGCCCCGTGCCCAAGGCCAGGAATCCGGCCCACTATGCATAGGCATTGGCTTCGGCCTCCGCCTGCCTCGGGGCCAGGCCAGGGCCTTGCATCTGTTGCCAGAAAGAAGGTTGGAGGAGATAGGGCCTCAGGGCGAGGCTGCTCAGGCCCGTGGGTGTCAAGCACCAGCAGCCCAGGCCCCAGCAGCTCAAGCCCAACTGAGTCAGGTCCAGGCAGATCCAACCCCAGGCACGTCCTCTCAGGCTGGGAGCCTCAGGTCTGCAGATTTTCAATCACTAAACTCTGCCGGACCTCCTCGGCCTCACGCACCAAAGCAAGCCACTGCCTCCCTGAGGCCCAGGGCGCCTTCTCCTGTCCCAAAGAAGCTGGTGTCTCCAGAGCCTATTCTCCGAAAGTCGCCATCCTAATTCCAGAGCCACGGAGGCGCCCAGGAGCACCCCCTCCAAATCCCACCCTCCCTTCCAGGCCACTCCAGATCTCAGGGAGCCCCAGAAACACCTTGAAGGGCTGGCTGGCTGGAGGTCAGGTGTCTTCTCCTGCTCTGAACCCTGGAAACCCCTTGTGGAGTCTTCTCTCTCCTGGCTGAAGAGGACCAAACACAGCAGAAGCCCAATTCAGCCTTCAGTGTATCCAATAAAGCCTGACCCTGAGAAACTTACACTTGCGTCCTGCTAAGTCCACAGGCTGGCTGTAGCTACAGGAGTGTTGGTACCCACCAAGGCTGGAGGGTGTGTGTGTGTGTGTGAAAGGAAAGAAAGGGATCAAAGACAGTAGTTCTGTACTCTGGGAGGCAAGGGACCCATAGACTCTAGGTCCTGAGATGTGCAGAGGGCTGGGCCACACCTCACATGATTAATTCAGCCATGTAGGACAGACACCAACATCCCCAAAGAAGAAGCCATGAGGCCCATTCCTCCAGCGGTACCCTGGAGGAATGCGGCAGTGCATGTTCCTTGCAGGGCAGGGCATTTCCAGCGCACAGCCACAGGGGAGCATGGGGCTCTCGCACAGACCAGAAACCTGGGGTGCCCTCAGGAGGGTGGGGTGGCAGGCATAGAAGTTGCCTCCAGAGACCAGACAGTCACAGGGAAGCAGTCACGGCTGCAGAAGTGGGATTGCGCAGCCATGAGAAGGGAATGGTGCACCCAGCCAGTGGGGAGGATAGTAGGGGCTGTGTTAGAGTGAAGAATGGTTTTCTCCTACTAGGAAGCAGTGAACATGAGATTTGAAGCCAGGCTTGTTTTGAAGTCCATGCTGCCTCTGTGACCTTGGACAAATCATTTCCTCTACTTTGTAAAAATGCAAAGGCTGTGCTTGTATGAGTGGCTTATCACTCCTTGAAGTGGGAGCGGTCCTAATTAGATTTGTGTGTGTGTGTGTGTGTGTTAGGAATATCTTTAAGATACTGGGGATGGGGGTCACAAGAGACAACACAACTCAGAAGTCAACAGGCAAGGCAATATTTACTTCTGCAGAAGGGTGTGCCACAAAGAGCAAGCACACTCAGTGGGGAGTCCGCTGGGGTTTTATCTGGACTGCAATGCTGCCCTTCCCCTGAATTGGGCAGTCTACGTGGTTGGCTAATTGGAAAAAGAATATCGGGAGGAGGCTTTGAAGACAAATTTAAAAGCTCAGGGACGCAATAACTGTTTTAGGTTATCAGCGCTACAACCAAGGCATCTAGCGGAATTCTGTCCCACTGAGGACAACAACCCTTTGTTCTCAATAGAAACTTTTATCAGGTTAAGCAGGGTCCATGAAGCGAGCCTATGGGTAGCCAGTTACCACCACACCCGCTCAAGGGTTTATTAACGGCTCATTAGTCATCCCCACTAGCCCCACCTCCCCGGGGGGGGGGGGGTCCCACGCCCCGCACAAAGATGGCGCGCAGCCGCGGTCAGCGGGAGGCGGAGAACCGGAAGCGGCACGGCCGGGGCAGCGGCCCGCTAGTGCTGACGCGTACTGGCGTCCTGCGCCTGCGCGGAGAGCCTGCCGGGGGCGCGTGCGCACTGTGCACCTGGAGCGCCAAGACGCGGATACCCGCGGTGATTAGAGTTGGGGCAAGCCGCTGGGAGGGAAGGGTGTCCGCAGCTCTCCTGGCGGTGACAGGGCCAAATTCACCAGCAGCCCGGGCAGTCGTCAGAGGCCGGGCGCGGCATGTCGTGGGTGCCGCGGGACTGGCAGTGAACGCACGGTGGGCAGGATGGACCGGCGTCGAGCTCTAGAGCTGTACCGGGCCCCGTTTCCGTTGTACGCGCTTCAGATCGACCCCAGCGCGGGGCTGCTCATCGCGGCGGGCGGAGGAGGCGCGGCCAAGACGGGCATAAAGAATGGCGTGGTGAGAGCGCGGGGCCTCTGGTGCTGGGCCACACCGTGGGTCCAGGACCGGACCCTGGCTGCTTACTTAGGGCCCTGCGGGGAAACCAGGCATGCCGGGTGCCCCAGTGCAGATTTCTGCCGAGAACGCACTCACTGGGGCGTTGAGAGACTTACGGTAGAATAAAAGCTGCCCTCCCGCCGCGACCTCGCGAGCAGCTCCACGGGGCTTATCCTTGTATTTTCGGAGGAAGCACATAGCCTTGTCTAGAACTAGCAGAGCAAGTGGTGCATTTGGCCCTTAGGCTAGGTTCCCTCACTCCTCGGAGCTTCATCCCGTTGATCTGTAAACAGTAATCCCAGCCTTGCTTGTGGTACAGTTTGGGAAGGCTCAAATAAGAGATAAAAGGCTCCAGAAAGCCCTGTGAACTGTAAGGTGCAGGACCCAAGAGAGTAAGACATCAGACTAGGAGTTTGCCTCGCGTTCCTTCAGGGCGCTCCTGAACTTTGCCCATCTTGGTTCCCTTTCCTACAGCACTTTCTGCAGCTACAGCAGATTAATGGGCGCCTGAGCGCCTCCTTGCTGCACTCCCATGACACAGAGTCACGGGCCACCATGAACTTGGCATTGACTGGTAACATCCTTGCTGCAGGGCAGGATGCCCATTGTCAGCTCCTGCGCTTCCAGGCCTATCAGCAAAAGGGCAACAAGGCAGAGAAAACAGGTGAGAAGCTTTGGGAAAAAAAAAAAAAAAGTTAAAATAAGTGAAATCCCTCTCATCTTAGTCTCTAAAAACCTGTATACATGTGGTACATGCTTGTAATCCCAGCTACTCAGGAGACAGATTGGGAGGATCAGGGCTCAAGGCCAGCCAGGGCATAAAAGTTATAAAGGATCCCATCTCAACAAGTAAATTGGGTGTGTTGGCATACATGTGGAATCCCAGAAATGGTAGGGAAGTGTAGGTAGGAGATTTGCTGAGCTAACCCCAGGGAGAAAAACACTGTGACTCCTATCCAAAAGCTAACTAAAACAAAAAAGAGCTGGCTGGGGGCATGGCTCACCTGCTGGCAAGTTCAAGGCCCTGAGTTCAAATCCCATACCAAGGAGGGGGGGAGTGGAATTGGAAATGGGGGTTATGATAGCAACTAGAAACTGTCTATACACCTGCCACGTAGAGAGAGGCCAACGTTAGTTAATACATAAGCCTGGATTCTGGCAAGCTGTTTATGATGCAGGTTCCAAGGAACAAGGGCCTCGACAAAGGAAGGGGACAGCTGCAGAAGAGAAGAAATCGAGAGCTGAAACCCAGCGCGAGGGGGTAGAACTCAGGGTAGAGAATTTGAAAGCAGTGCAGACAGACTTCAGCCCTGATCCACTCCAGAAAGTCGTGCGCTTCAACCATGATAATACCCTGCTTGCCACCGGAGGGACGGATGGCTACATTCGTGTCTGGAAGGTATGGTTTTCCAGGTTAGGGGAGATGAATGTCAGTTACAGGACAACAATTGTGAGACTCTGAACATGAGTTCTAGGAAACTTGTGAGTGGTCATTAGAAGAAAAGAGTGCTCTTGCTGTGTTCTGGCTTAACTATGGAGGTGGCTTGGCTGCAGGTACCCAGCCTGGAGAAAGTTCTGGATTTCAAAGCCCATGAAGGAGAAATTGAAGACTTGACTTTTGGGCCTGATGGCAAGGTAAGGAGGTGGGGGGAAGGGCTGCAGAAAAGAGGAGGTGCTTATGCTGTTTACACAGTAATTGGGTGCCCTAACTGTCCCATCTTTGGACTCCTTATTCCTGTCTAGTTGGTAACCGTGGGCTGGGACTTTAAGGCCTCTGTGTGGCAGAAGGACCAGCTAGTGACACAGCTGCACTGGCAAGAGAATGGACCCACCTTATCTGGCATGCCTTACCGCTACCAGGCCTGCAGGTGTGAAGGCCCCGGAGGGTAGCTAAAAGAGGCACTGCCCAGCTGTGGTGGGAGAGTGGGAAAAGACTGGGTGGGAGCTAGGGAGGACTGTGGCCTTGTCAGGTGTTATCCTGTGCCTGCCAGGGTGTGGGAAGGCTGAGCAGACCCCAGGAGCTGAAGAGCCTCTCTGCCTGATCCCCAGGTATGGACAGGTTCCAGACCAGCCTCGAGGGCTGCGACTCTTCACAGTGCAGATCCCACACAAGCGCCTGCGCCAGCCCCCACCATGCTACCTCACAGCCTGGGATGGGTCCACTTTCTTGCCCCTTCGGACCAGGCCCTGTGGCCATGAAGTCATCTCCTGCCTGAGTGTCAGGTGTGAGACGGTGCTGGCTTAGCTGGGTAGAGGGTGCTGGGAGCAATGGTGAGAAGGAGTCTATAAGTCCCTGAAGACCACTGTTGGTAAGTGAGGTTCCTGCACAGGCCTCCAGAACAATGAGTACTTTATTATTTGTTGCAGTGAATCAGGCACTTTCCTGGGCCTGGGCACAGTCACTGGCTCTGTTGCCATCTACATCGCTTTTTCTCTTCAGGTAATGGGTGGAGGCTGGCACAAGCCTGTGGGAGGGCTGCAGGCCTGCTCTGCCCTGTCTATACAGGAAGGAGTCTGGCCCAGCCTGTAGGGGAAACCTGCCAGGGGTGGGGAGCATGTCTCCCAGAAGAAAGTTTCCATTGAGCCTTCCCTCACTAGTTTTCTCCTGCCCCCAGCGCCTCTATTACGTGAGGGAGCCCATGGGATTGTGGTGACAGATGTGGCCTTTCTACCTGAGAAGGGTCGTGGTCCAGAGCTGCTCGGGTCTCATGAAACTGCCCTTTTCTCTGTGGCTGTGGACAGTCGTTGTCAACTACACCTGCTACCATCACGGCGTGAGTCATTAGGGCAGGGAATACCACCCCTTACCTTTCGCTGTAGCAAAAACTGGCCCCTGGAGAATGGGTTGTTTATTTATAGCCATCCATCTGCTGCCTCCAATGAAATAGGTTGAGGGTTCTGGTCTTCAGGCTGTGAAGCCCCTTTGTCCGCTAACTTCTTCCCTTACCCCATCCTTAGGGAGTGTTCCTGTGTGGCTGCTGCTCCTACTGTGTGTTGGGCTTATTTTTGTGACCATCCTGCTGCTCCAGAGTGCCTTTCCAGGTTTTCTGTAACCTCCCTGTCCCCTGAGGATCAGGGGCATGAACACTACCACCTTCTAGATCAGAATGGAGGCCTGGACCCTACTGCTTGCCTCATTTGGGTCCACAGCTGAGGATGCCTCTGGTGAGACTGACGGGCACTGCTTGCCCTTCTCAGTTAAAGCTTGTCTGTGGCCCTGAGTGACTCTGGGTCCTGTGAGTCCTGCATTCATCACCTGTGGATCCACCCAGGACAGTGGTATCTGAAGCCCAGGCCACACTACCTGCTTCCTTGCCCTTTTCCAGAAACATACCTAAGAGCCTGGAGGCACTGCCATCCTTTCTGCAGAATCAATCAGTTCCTCCTCCTCCCCTCACAGCCTTCACGTGAAGGCTTTCTTCCTGGCTTTTGCTGGGAAGAAGACTAGTCTGGTACTGGCTGTTCGAGCAGGAAGGGGCAAAAAGAAAACTCAGGTAGTAGTACTCTGTGGGTTCAGGTGGGTCACACCAAGCCAGCCAGTCTAAATATACAATAAGTTCCAGGATGGCCTACTCTAGCCTTGAGGAAAGGGAAAATGAACCTCAGCCTATTAGGTAGGAAGAGTTGATATTTAATAAAAAAGGGAAGAGTGAGTTGAAACCCCAAATGGTACTCTTGTCAGCTCTTTCTGTCCCCAGGGTGAGGGTGCCCTGAGTTCAAGCAGCTCTGCTGGGTGCTGGAAGATGGCTCTGGCATATTGATGTAGGAGGCGACTCATGTAGCAGTGTTGCCATGGCAGCAGCCCTTCCAGGAAGCCAATGTGGCCACCCCGAGCAGTGATGAGCAGTGCAACATTGGGAGAGTGTTGGACAGCCTGCAGGGGAAAGGCTGGGGGAGGGTCAAAGAAGAGGTCAGCAACCTGCCTTTAATGAGAACCCAGGCTCTCCATTTGTGCCTCATTGTCCACTTGCCCTGGGACCAAGGCATCATAATTTAGGCTACTCACCATGGACTGGGGAGAAGGGGTCATCTGCTGCATTGAGGCAGAGCACAGGGATCTGGATGGAATCTACCTTGGTTCTTGGGCTTGCAGCTTGGTAATAATCTGCACAGTCTTTATAGCCAAAGGCCACAGATGTGTAGCGCTCATCAACCTGGCGGATTGTACGGGCCTGTGTGATGGAGGTATGACAGGCTAAGATATCAGAGAAGAGGAAGGTGGTGGGAGAATGATGTTGGGACATGAGGGGACTTGAAAGACTATACCTTTACCACGAAGTCTACATCCAACACCTTTTCAATTGTCTTTCTGTTTCTGGAAAAAGAGTACCATCAGGGTTTGTCTTGACTTCTGTATCTGACCTGAAGTGTGCAGCCTCATTATTGTGAGAAAGCCCAGATTAGAACTGACCTAAGTACTGGGATAGCCTGGCATGCCTGCCATCCTACCCTGTCTTTTGTCCCTTCCCACTTGCCAAGACCCTCCCTACCTGTCCACAAGCCGACAGAGTCTAGCAGTCAGGTGCTGATTGAAGAGCAGTGAGTTGAGAGGAGTCTCCAGGGAGTTGACAGTCTCAAAAGAATCCCAACATGCAGATAGAGTCAATCCTGCCACCAACCCCCCAGCCGTCCCGGTCCGTGCCAGGTAGTTCAGCACCAAAATTCTGCAGGATTGGATGAAGGGCCACAAAAGAAGGGTCTGCATGAGTGAGTCGAAACATGAGAAGGAGAGGATATGGAGGAGGAAAGAAAGACTGGACATCTGGGTTAAGCCCAGGTAACCATTACCCTCCAAAAGAGATGCCCACGGCCAGCAGTGGAGCTTGGGTGTAGTGGCGCTTTATGTGGTTCACAACTGTCTCTAGATCTTCAGTATTGCTGGCACAATAAGCCCTGTGGGTCTAAGGCACATGGGATCATTGGATGGGGAGGGAGGCTCTTTCCAGAAGGTAACAGAAGGGAAGGGCTCAGGAGGTGGTAGGGAAAGGGAGTGAGGGTAGTAGAGCCCCAAGGCCACAGATCTCCAAACAGAGTGGGTGTAGGGCTACCACGAGGAAGGGGGATACTCACCAGCAGTTCTTCCCCACGGCAGCCCCGGTAATTAAATACAACAGCCCTGGGGCACACATTAAGTATGTCAGCCAGACCCAAGAATCCCCACCCTCTTTGGTAGTCTTCAAAAAGACCTCTGTCAGACTCCTTCGAGCACTGTATAAGGGTCAAATTAACTTATCCCACTACAAATTTTCAGGTACCTCCACTCCTGGGCTGTGCCCATCATTACCTATAGCCATCTCTCAAAGCTTGGTCAACCAGGTGCAAGATGTATGTCTCCTGGCTACTGCCGCTGATGCCTGGAAGCAGCAACACTACGGGCTGGGTGGTAGGGTCAGGGTATTTGTTGCTGTTAGGCTGCTCAGCCCAGTCTAACAGGAACTGGCCTCCATCTGGGGTTTGAAGAACTTCACTGGGGTTTGGGAGAGATAGGCACACAAAGATACTATTAGGAATTTGATTTCAAAGGTTTATCCTCTGCCTCAGTTACAAATCCCACACGTGCCATGGATATCATTCAAAGGCATGCTTTATGTGAAAGAGTAAAGCTGACCAAAGTAGAATGGGGAGATATATTACCTCGGGTGCAAGTTGATAACCCTTCCATATACCCAATTTCATTATGCTTTCAACACACTGAGGTAGAAGGGGAAAAGAATCACCTTCATTTTTAAAGAGGTAGATCTTCTTTCCCTAGATAGTTGCAGCTTCATGGTCACCTGCTCTGTCCCTTCTTACCTCCGGTAAGAGACCAGGGGCTGAGGCTGCACAAAGATGCGAAAGATGGTTTGTAGCCGTCCTTCAAAACACCACAGTGTGGGGTAGAAGGTCTCCACAGTGATGGGACAATGTTGCTCCAGGAAGGCCAAAAACTTGGGGCTGGCTATCAAGCGAGGTCTCTGTAATCGCACAGCACAAACTGTCACTCCCCTGGCTTTTGGCCCAGGCTAGTGAGGTGTCTGGCACTGACCCCTCTTCTCAGAGGTTACCCTGCTATTTTGTCAGGGTGAGGTATCCAGCATTCCTCAGTCTGGAATGGCCACATCACCTCTGATAATATCTAGAGCTCCAAAGAACCCCAGTTCTGGAGTGTCATCTCTCCAGAAGTGACCCGAACTGGGAGCTGCTGCAGCTGAGTGTCAGCTTCCTTGTTCAGCCTATCTCTGCCTCAAGCTCATCTAGGGGGAGCAAGTAATGTAAACTGCCCAGCTGACCCTTGCAGGAAGGGTTGATGTCCCAGCCATTCAAGCACTAGTTTGCGACCTTTACCCCGCAGTAAAATTATCCAAACTGGCTCTTGCCACTCTGGCTTCCCCCAACTTTAGCACCCCATTGTCTGTATATCCCTGTTGTTCCCTGATGTGTGTTCACTGCTGAAGGGCTTCTTTCTACCAGGGAACCTCATTTTCTCTCATTTATGGAGCCTCTGCTGCTAGAGCATGCTCCACAGGAGGAATGGTCCTAATGTGAACCCATTTTTTTTCTTCATGCCAGCCAGGGGAAAGGAAACAGGGATGGGATAACAGGAATAGATGAGATCAGCTGACTTTCAACTTTCCTGCTTGGTTCTGCATGGTCATGAAGTGAGTAAGAGTGAGTAAGGAGGCTTAGGAAGGAGGAGTATACAGAACAAAGTCAGAGGGCCTCAGGTTCAAAAACAGAAATTTGGGGGCCAAAGCTAGGGACTGGAGCTCAGTGGTAGAGCACCTGCCTCACAGGTGCAAGACTGGGTTCAATACCAGGCATTGCAAAAAACAAAAACAAAAAACAGAAATTGCATTTTAGAGGAACTTCAGATTCAGATACCTATCTTTTCCTTCAGTCTTGAGACTCAAAAGAGGCTGGAGAAATGATAACTAGACAAGCCAAGTTGAAAATGTGACTGTTGGGAAATGTGGCTTGAACTCTGATCCTTAGACCCTGGGATAACAGCAATGACTCACTGTATGCTATCTGCAGGCACTGAACTAAGCCCAACCTTGTCAGATAAGCTATAAGTGAAGAAATTATGATTCTAAGAGATCAACTGGTTTGCCCAAAGATGCACAGCAAGCAAGAGGGAAGCAGAATTAATAGTTAGGGTATCATGCTAATATTTGTAGGTAAAATGTGTTGAGTGCTCATTAGGTTCCAAGCATTGTGCTAATCACTTGTGACCATCTTGTGATAGTCACAACAGTTCTTAGATCCTATAATCCCCCTGTGTGAACAGTCTGAATGTCAAATACTGTCAAAATTCACAAAGCTCACCGCAGCTAATTTGCGGTATAGCTGGAGATTTAAACCTAGGTGTCTCTGACTCTTGAACTCTGCCATTTAGTCACTGTACTATATTGTCAAGAATTTGAGTTGATATCAATTTATTAAGCCTTTGATCAAACAGATCAGTGGTGGAGAACAAAGTTGGTAAGTTAGTTCATAGATTTGATTTATGTGGGTTACCTTCATGTAACTCTTAACAAAATGTTTCTTAACTCACTCCTGAGAATGAATTAGTAATATGCCATTGGTTACTGTGTACAAAACATATTACATCATAACCATGTTGGGCAGCTCAAACCCCAAATCCTTAGGGCTTCCAGAATGGTACTTTAAATACAGTTTACCTAGGATTTGGAAGTTGAAAAGATTTGGGGTATAAAGTGGCAGGGACTCTGACTTCTGTGTGGCTGGCTGCAAGTAAAGGAAAATGTAAAGGACAGGTCTGATCTGAAATGACTGACTTCAAATCTCATGTGTAAGGTGAGGCTTATAGACTACTGTTAGGTTTGGGCTTTTAAACAGTTTTTTTTATTAAATAGAGATTTCTAAAAATTTTACTATTATCACTTTCTTGGTGTTGGGGCTTGAACCCAGGACTCATACATGTGAAGTACACACTCTACCATTGAGCTACACCCCTGACTTATTTTATAAACATTACATACTAATGTAGAAAGTTCTGAAAATATAGAAAATACTAAAATCACCTGTATGTCTTTAAAAAAGTTTTTTTGAGTTTTTTTTAAACCCAGGGCCTTTTGCATGCTAAGCATGTGCTCTGCCACTAAGCTATGCCCAAGCTTTTTTTAAGAGACACTGTCTTGCTGTGTTACCCAGGCTGACTCAGAACTCCTGGGCTTAAGCCATCCTCCTGCCTCAGCCTCCCTAGTAGCCAACACTGCAGGTACAGGTGCCACAGTGCCCTGGCTTTGTGGTACTGAGGTTTGAACTCAGGGCCTCACGCTTGCTAGGCAGGTGTTGTACCACTTGAGCCACACCTCCAGCACTTCCTATAGGTCTTTTCAAAGGATTTGAGTCAATAGATTTGTTAGACTCACTTACCTACAATAAATTTTAATGAACATCAAAATAGTTTGCTTTTCCTAGATATGGAGATTATGTTACTTAAATTCAGTGAGAAAATCTCCAGACTCTTCAGACTTTCTCATCAAACTGTACCTGAAGAGTCTAGAACTTAAAGGAGGGTTGAATGCACAAGGTTATCCTTCTGAGCTAGGCGGGAACCCCAGCAAGGCCCTACTAAGATGATGGAGGTGGAGCCACGGGCCTCAGGCTCCATCACTCAGCTAAAGAGACTCTGCTAGACTACCTAAAAGTAAAAGGAAGCAGAAAGTGCACATTTCTGACACCTCGTGATGCTTTCCACTCTGCCTTTCCAAATGCCAGTCCACATTATGCGGGCAACACCCTTCCCGTGCCCAACTGGTCCAGCTGGCGGGGGGCAATCCAGATAATTAAAGGAGGCAAAAAACCGACTCCCCAATAGATGACAATAGCAAGTTTCGCTTGGGACAGCAGACCCAAACCATCCAAGCTTTCACAAAGGACTCGAGCCCAGGCTGGAGGCTGCCCCCACACCTGAGAACCCCACACCCGCCGGCAGAGCACTGGGCCCGCACCCACCTGGGGCACACATGCCCAGTAGTAGCCCAAGTAGAGGGAAACGGCAAGAGCCAAGAGCAGAGGGAAGGTCTCTGTCCAGGTGCCGCCCTGGGCGCTCAGGGTGGAACGCAGCATCTTGTGCAGGCGCGGGGTTCCAGTTCCCAGGCCCCCGGCTGGCTCCGGCTCCTGAACTTTGACTCTTTGGCCCGCAGGTTGGCGCGGTCCGCCCCTTGCACGCCATTGGCCAGATTGTGCAGGTCCCGCCCCCGACACCGGTCCCGCCCCCGACACCGGCCCCGCCCACCGTCAGGGCCGCCCCTGAGGGGCGCGAGGCGGTGTTAGGACACCCGCCAGCCTCGACTGGTGAAGACTTGGAGGTGACCCCGGCGACTTGCAAATGGCCTCTCGTGCCCCCGCCCATTCCCGCCTCCTGTTTCCCCTCAGCGGTTACAAGCAGCGCTGCCCAAGAACAAGCAGCACCTCCGCCCTCCAGCTGCCATCTTGGTGCCGGCCATCTCCGCCTCCTTCTTCCTCAAACTCTTCCCCAGCGATGGCTCAATCAAGCAGCCTGGGCAGACTTCCCCAGCTGCTCAGTCACACCCAGGGCACAGCCTCTCCTGTGGGGATATTCTGCTGTGCCACAGAGTACAGCCATTCACAGTTACACATACACACTGGACACAGCCACTGTCCCAAGCTGTTACATACTCAAGTGGTGGTGTTCCACCAGCCTCGACTGCTGACCGCTTGGAGTTGACCCCAGCGACCTGCAAAAGGCCTGAGTTCAAACCCCAGGTTAAAATCGCTATGCAGTGGCACTATGTTGTCTTATAATCCCTGCCAACAGTGAACGTACAATAGATAATGTGCTCATCATCCACTCTGTGCCAGGCACTCCATAGAGATGACCCAGGGATCCTGGACCTGTTGTCATTGGGCTATAGGAGTAGGGACTGGACCAGAGCAGAGGCTTTCTACCTTGACTGCCAGTGCTCAGACACCTCCCTTAACATAGTTAGTCTGGAGAAGAGCTCACATACCAGAGTACAAATGTATCAAGGGATGTAACGTAAAAGCTCTCTGGGCAATTCAAATGTGACCTCAGGGTTGAACCCTATGACAGAGACTGAAACCAAAGGTTTTAGACCGAAGGCCAAACTCCTGGAATTCCACATGTCAGGTCTGGTCACTCGCCCCATACTGCAAATAAAGAGACATAGTGAATGTCAGAGGAAGGTTTATTACACGGCCTGGGACATTCCTTGGGAAGAGACAAAGTAACCACTCAGTCCATCTTCAGGTACAGGCATGAGCTATAGGTTTAAATAGACAAAGAACTGGGGGCAGGAGAAGAGAGGTATGCATAGTTAAATAGTCCCGGTCACAGTTGTGTTCTGTTGGTCAGAGGTGGTGGCAGGTGGTTTGGCAGCTCAGGTAGGACCTAGTTGGCCACTATTTCAGTCCTTGTCCTTCCAGGGTTCCAGAGTTGTTATCATTGTCAACATTTTAGGTGAGCAGCTGGTTCTCATGAGATGATCACTCTTGCTCCAGGGTGCTGGTGATTACTCCTGCTCCAAGTGATTGCCTTCATTTCCAGTGGTCTGTCTTGAGAGGCTCACTTTCACTTGGGGTCTGGAGCCCTCAGGCAGATGAGTATCCCATCCCCCCCTGTGGAGAGCACTACATTCTTGCTTCCTGAGAAGGAGTCATAAACCTGCATTCCTGCTTCCTGAGAAGGTGTTGTAAACCTGCATTCCTGCACCCTGAAGAGGAGGTACAGGGTGTCATAGATCTGCCACAGGGCCAATGAGCAAAATGCTATCAAGATGGTTTCCCCTCCCCAATAAGGGGCAAAAAAACCAGTTCACCTAAGAAAGCCCACAAATCCATGGCCAATGAAAAGAGCTCACCTAACCCAGAGTTAAAACCTCCATAAAAGCCCCAGCCTTCGCCTGAGCGCAAGCCACCAGTTTCTGGACTCCACTGCACTGTTCTGGCTATAGCCTTTCCTTTCTCTCTAATAAATCCTACTTCCTATTCCGGCTTTGGCTCATCAATCAGCTGCCTTACAAGCCAGTTCTCTGGCCTGTGACGGCAAGCACCCTCAACATGGGCCAACACTTCAAACTGGCACGTAACACTGTATAAATGTTGAGTCAGTCCTGTCCTTCTTGGGTTCCAGGGTGATTGCAAAGTGACTACACAGAGAATGACTTAATGCAAAGACAAATACAAAATGGAGGCAAGGATGGCAAACTTTCCCCTCCTTTTAGTTAATTCACAGACCCAAATAAGTAGTCAGTGCTTTTCAGAGCAGTTTTAAGACCCTCTGACCAGAGCAGTACTAGAAAAAGGATGTATTCTGATAATAGCTCACTCTTCTTTTGCTGTAACAAATTACAACACACTTAATGGCTTAAAACAACACAAATTTATTCTCTTACAGTTCTGGAGGTCAGAAGTCTGACATGGGTCTTATTTGGCTACAATCAATGCCCTGGCAGGGCTGGGTTCCTTTGAAAGCTCTTGGAAACATTTCCTTTCTATCTGGGCCCTGGTGCTTCATGCCTGTAATCCTAGTAATTTGGAAGGCAGAGATTGAGAAGATGGAGGTTTGAGGCCAGCCCAGGCAAATAGTTCTCCAGACCCCATATCTAAATAACCAGAGCAAAATGGACTTGGAGGTGTGGCTCAAGCAGTAGAGTGCCTGCTTTGTAAACATAAAGCCCTGAGTTCAAACCCCAATCCCACCAAAAAAAGAAAGAAAAAAAAATTTCATACCTGTTCTAGCCTCCAGGGAGATACCTGGATTCCTTGACTCCTGACCCCTTTTCTGTCTTCACAGCCAGCAGCACACACTGTTTTCATAGTCACCTCTCCTCTCCGGACTCTGGACTCTCCTTCCTGCCTCTTTCTTCTAATAACCAGCTGTAGTTTGGATCTTAAGTGTTCCCCAAAGGTCCATATGGTAAAGGCTTGTTCCCCAGCTTGGCATTATTGGGAAGTGGTGGGACCATGAAGAGATGGAAGCTGGTGAAAGGTCTTTAGGACATTAGGCATCTGAGAAGATTCTGGAAACACAGACTCTTTCCCTTTCTTTCATGTTCAGGCCATGAGGTGAACAGTTTTTTGTTGTTGTCTTTGTTTCTGTGTTGTGGTGCTGGGATTTGAACTCAGGGCCTCACACTTGCTAAGCAGGTGCTCTACCACTTGAGCCACTCAGCCAACCCAAGGTGAACAGTTTCACTCTGCCATGTGCTTCAGCCATGATGTGCTGCCTTGCTACAGGCTCAAAAACAATGGGACCAACTGATCATGGACTAAAACCTCTACAACCATGAGCCAAAATAAACCTTTTTTTTTCCTTTTTTTGTTTTTTTTTATAAAAGGAAGGGCCAGGCACTAGTGGTTCACGCCTATAATCCTAGCTACTCAGGAAGCAGAGATCAGGAGGATTGTGGTTTGAAGCCAGCCTGGGCAAATAGTTCACCAGATCGTATCTTGAAAAAGCCTATCAAAAAAAAGGGCTGGTGGAGTGGCTCAAAGTGTAGGCCCTGTGTTCAACCCCCAGTACTGCAATAAATAAATAAATAAAATGAAGGAAGGAAGGGAGGAAGAGAGGGAAGGAAAGAAGGAAAGGAAAGTGAGGAAGAGAAGACAGGGAAGTACTCACTACTGAGGAGCATTGAGCAGAGTGCCCAAACTTCAAGGATGGGGCCAAAACATCAGTAGGAGCTTCCCAGGCAAGTGGGAGGAGGGAGTTCTAGATCCAGGAAAAGGGAATGTCTGGAGGTGAGCGACTTCTTAAAGGAGCCAGAAGAAATTTGATGTAGCTGAGCACATGGGTGGTCAAGAACCAAGTGGTAAACAGCTGCAGAGAGGAATTATTTATCTTGATGGCAGAGGAAAGCCTTCAGAGGGATTTAAGAGGGATGTGTGACATGATCAGAGCAATATTTAAAAAAATGTCTCAGGCTACTTGGAGAAGGGATTGGAGGAGGATGAAGACAGAAGCAGAGAAGCCAATTGGATGGCTGGAAACAGCACCCCAGGCATGGAAGTCAGCTGCTGGGACAGGCAGCATGAGAATAGACTTCCAGACAAGAGGCAGAATTGATAGGATACCTAAATGGGTTGGAGGTGGGGCAAAGGAGGAATGGGGATGATCCCCAGGTGTCTGACTGCACAGATACAGGGGGGCCCATCCCTAGGATAGAGAAAACCAGGGGAGGGGAAGGTTTGAGAAGGAAAATGATGCATCCAGACTCAGACATGACAAGGTGGGATGCTAGTATGTGTACTAACTGTGTTTCCATTAACCACAGGCCATACAAGGTTATTTACATCTCCCCTGGGATCAGAGCCCATACTCTGAACCACTTCCTTTACTTAATTCTCACACGCTAAACCAATATTTCTCCTGCTCTAACTCACCCCAAGGCCAGGTACCATGAAACTAGTGAAAGCCACTAGGCCCCAAGCCCTCCGGAATTATTCAAACTAGCTAATCCTAAACTTACTCATGCCCTGCCTTGCATTTCTGAAAAAAAAAAACAAAAACACCTCAATTAAGGCTGTGACCTTGGCTCCTGTCTGCCTCCTGAGGGACACTGGTCCTTCCCCCAGTGGCTGTACATGGCTTGCTTTGCCTATTGTCTCCAGGGTAGCTGTGAATAACATTAAGCTTTTCTCTCAAAGGCATTAACCTCTTGGTGTCACATTCATAAATGAAGAACCTGGCACAAATAGGTAGGATGTTGGATTCCTGAGGTCTGGGGCTTAGAGACTGGAGTTAGAGATTTGGTCTTCATCAGCATTCAGACGGTGTATTCCTTTGTAGGGGTGCTGTAACAAAGTACTTCAAACTAGGTGTCTTAACAAAAGTATTTTCTCACACTTCTGGACACTAGAAGTCAAGATCAAGGTGTCTGCTGGGTTGGATCCTTCTGAGGGCTGTGAGGATCACACACACACACACACACACACACACACACACACACACGCCTGCCTCTCTGTCTCTGTGCCTCTGTCCCCGGTCTCAGTGACACGCACCCCGCCCCGCGGTGGCCAGGTCCGGGCGGGGTCCCCGCGTCCCTTCCGCGGTGGCTGCAGCCGGACTCTGCCCGGCCTGGGCGGCGGCTGCACCCAGAGGGCAGGACGACGTGGAGCAGCCACGTGGAGCGGCCGGGGGCGGGCCAGCTGCGGGCATCACGGCACGGGCGGCGGCAGCCTGGAGCGCGCATCTAGCCGGAGCCCCAGCCCCGCACGGCGCCGCGGCAGCAGGTGGGTCGGACCCCGCCCTGGCGGGCTAAGGGCTGGGTGGTCTGCGCGGGCCCCGCTGGGGGCTAGGTGGCCTGCTGCTCTGGTCCCCCAGCATCCCTGAGGCTTGGACCTGGCAGGAGCGTTGGCCCTCGCCTCCCGCTGGGGAAGAGGTCACCCCTGAGAGCAGGTAGAGGAGGCGGTTGCTTGGTGGGATGAGGGTCACACAGCCTTCGTCGCCTTTCCTTCCTGCATCAGATGCGTTGCCCCAACAGCCCTGGCGGTGGGGGGTGCGGGGAGCTGGCAGGTTTCACCGCAGCTGCAGCTGAAGTGATGGATTGGAAAGGGCTCCAGGATGTCATCCTGCTGGAAGTGGCCGGACAGGAGACCAATCCAGGGCTGTGATCTGCTCCATTGACTGTATAGCAGCTGCCTCCTTTCTTGAGGAGTGGGGGAATTGGGATAAACCAAGAGAGAGAATTCAGTTCAGATAACTTCCCAACTATCAGACTCACCCAGAAATGCAAGGGATGCTCCTGAAGTGCCAGGCTCCTGTCCTGGAAAGATTCAAGCAGAGACTGTCTGGCCATTGGACAGGGATGTTGTACAAGAAATGTGCCCTGGATGGGAAGGTATTCATGGTAACCCTTAAAGGTCCCGCCACATCCTAGAGTCTCTGAAACACTCAAGGAGCATCTGCTGGGGACCATTATCTACATTATCTCATTACACCCTCTCCAACCCCAGGAGATAGGAGATGTGAGATGTGAAGACAGGGATCCAGGCATTGGAGAGGTTAAGACCTGGGCCTAAGCTCTCCTCCTATGTGCTTGTGCAAAGGTTTGAAGAAATCTGAGCTGCTAGGTCATCGCGAAAGTATATGTACGTGTCTGACACAAAGAATTCATTGAATTATACCCCAACTGTTAACTAATGGTCATGATGGTTTTTGTGGTGTTCATTAGGGTTCATTACCTAATTATAGGAAATGGTTAGGAACATTTTTATTTAACAAGCTGTGGTTCAATGGCTGCTTTATTTCTGTTGCTTGCAAAAGCTTGTAAATGCTTCAAAATGTGTAAGCATGGAGAATCACATGACACCCACTTCATCACACATTTTGCGATGGGTTAGCCTGACTCTCTTTAAACAGTACAGGTGGGTTACTTGTATTAAAAATGTCACAGCTTGGCCTGGAGGTGTGGCTCAAGCAGTCGAGCGCCTGCTTTGCAAGCATGGAGCCCTGAGTTCAAACCCCAGTACCTGAAATAAATAAATAAATAAAGTCACAGCTGGAAGCATTAAGAGGCCATTACACTAAAAGTTCTCATGCAATTATTTAAATTTTTGAGGGGGACTACAACTGAATGCTAAGGTTGTCAGGAGGATAATCCAGGTTGAGGATAGAACAGGTTGGACAAAAGCACTGAAAAGCAAAAGTGGAAATTATTGTAGGAGACTCCAGTCTGCCTCTGTTTAAAGCAGAGTGTTGGTGTGATAGACCATTGGAAGATGGGTCAGATAACTTAATCTCTCAATGCGCAGTGAGGACTCTGGACTGCAATAGAAACAGGGAGCCATTGAAGGTTTTGGAGCAATGGAGTTCTAGCAAAAGAAGATTTATCTGATGTGGGTGTGGAGAAGACACCAGAGGCAGGGACAGTAGTAAAAGGCTACTAGATTAATGTGTGTAAGAAGCAATTCACAGCTGGGCTCGTGTAATCCCAGCACTCAGGAGGTTTAAACAGGAGGATTATGAGTTTGAGGCCAGCCTGGGCTACATAATGAGTTCCAGGGCTGCCTGGTCTACTTAGAGAGACCCTGTCTCAAAACAACAACAAACATGTAGTGGCTTAAAACAATAACCTTGACTTTGCTCAGGAGTGCAGTCTGGGCAGACAGTGGAGACACATTTCTACTCACGCATTTGGTGCTGACTGGGGCAGCTTTAGGATGGAAATGTCAGCCACCTGGCAGTCACATAGCATCACTTCAGTAGTTCAATGGGACTGGGCGAGTCGCTAGGTCCAAATCCTATACAAGGGGAGGTGAATTAGACTCCAGGTTTGCAGGGCAGGAATGTCAAGGAATTTCAGATGTGTTTTGGGACCACTGCAGTTGGCCTAATTAAGTGAGTAGATTAGTGAAGTGGGATGGACAGCGCTCCCCCTACATCTGAAGTACCTCCAGGAGAGGGCGAGTCTTTGAAGTTCACAAATGTCCTCTTCTAAAAGCAACAGCTCAGATAATAGGTTTTGATAGCTCTGAGGGATTTAAATTACTCCAGTGTCTTCTCTGGTCTCGGTCCTGGCAGTGAGCAGATGGGGTGGAAAAAGCAATTTCAGGGGATCCAGGTGGAAAGGCCAGGGGATGGAGGGGAGGTGTGAAGCCATCGAGAGCAGCCGGTAAAACTTTTGGAAGGCAAAAGTCCTGCTTATGTGAGAGGCGCTGCACTACACAGGCCTGTCTCACTGAGTCCTCACCAGGGCCCTGGGGAGGCCTCACCTCAGCCCATGTTACAGACACAAACCTGAGAATGAAAAGATAGCTGTGTCCTGCCCAGCCTGCATCTGGACTTAGGTAGCCTGAGGTTAGGGCCTTGAACTTTGGGCTAGACCACCTGTCTTTAGCGATTCTTTCTTTTTCCTTTTTCTAAGACGGAGTCTCACCGTGTTGCTCAGGCTGGCCTTGGATTTGGAATCCTCCTGCCTTAGTCTCCCAGGTGGCTGGGATTGTAGATGTGCCCCACCACATCTAGCACCTCTGTTTTTCTAACATTTGTGTCTTTTCCTACTTGTAAAAGTTTGTAAGCTTTACGGTGGAAAAAAGAAGTGATTCTACTTAGGCTATCAGTTTACTGATAAGATAGTACCTCATTTATATTTAATATTTTAAAAATATTAAAAGAAATGGACTAAGGGTGTAGCTCAATGGTAGACCTCTTGCCTAGCGTGCATAAGGGCTTGGGTTTGATCCTCATTGCTGAAAAGGAAAAAAAAATTAAGTAAGTGAATAATGAGTATCTTTATTCTACAAACATGTTAACCCTTACCTTCCCTACAGATGCTTGTCCTCCTGGCCTCTGTTGCCTGGCATCTGCCAGTGCCTCCCGTGAGTGTTAGCTGCTTTCCATCACCATAACAAGCACCTGAGAAAAGGTTTACTTGGCTCACAGTTGGGGGCGTTTCAGTCCATGGTCAGTTGGCCCCATGGCTATTGGGCCTGTGGCAAGGGAGCACATCCTGGTAGGGAACATGTGGTAGAGCAAAGCTGCTCACAATATAACCAGGATGTAAAAGAGAGGAGGAAGAGGAACCTTCCTCTTCAAGGGCACACCCCAAATGACAGAAGACCTCCCATTAGGCCCCACCTCTCTCTCTTTTTTTTTTGGTGGCACTGAGGTTTGATCTCAGGGGCCTCACTCTTGCTAAGCAGGCGCTCTTACAGCTTGAGCCATTCTGGTAGAGCCACTGTACCAGCCCTTTTTTTGTGATGGTTTTTTTTTTCAAAATAGGGTCTTGAGAACTATTTGCCTGGGTTGGCTTTGAATTGAGATCCTCCTGATTTCTGCCTCTTCTAGGATTACAGGCATGAGCCATGGGTGCCCAACTCTTAAAGGTTCCACCACCTCCCAATACCACCAACCTAGAGATCCATCCTTTAACACATGGACTTTTGGAGGACATTCCAGATGCATATTAGAGCACCAAGTTTTTGTTTGTGGCATCCAGCTCAGGGCCCACACCTCCTGGCATTCTCTTTCAGGCCTGCTGACCCTCTCAGCCATTATGCACCGTCCCCCTCCTTCATCTTAGAAACTGAATTCCACCTGGCCCATCCTTGCACCATCAGACTCATACAAAGAACTATGTGAGGTGGTCCTCTGGCTGATTCATCCAGGTCTCCTCTAACCATTGCTCCTTTTTTGGGGAGCAGTGAGACTGGGGTTTGAACTCAGGGCTTCCTGTTTACAAAGCAGTGCTTTATCTCTTGAGCCACACCCTCAGTTCATTTTGCTCTAGTTATTTTGGTCTCTTGACCTGCTTGCCCAGGCTGGCCTCAAACTGTGATCCTCCCTATCTCAGCCTCCCAAGTAGCCAGGATTACAGGTCTGAACCACCAGCATCCAGCTATGTAATTCTTTTTTCCACTTGTGTTCTTCCCTGTGCAATCCCCAAGATGATATTGTTGGGTCAAAGTTTAATACGAGTTTGCAGATTGCTCTCTAGAAACAGTTCAGGTTTACAGTTCCCCAACTAATGTGGGTTCATACTCACAGATTCAATTTCCCCATTGGTTACAGGACTACTCAACCTCTACCGCTTGAGCCACACCTCCAGTCCATTTTGCTCTGGTTATTTTGGAGATGGGGGCCTCGCAAACTATTTGCTTGGCTGGCTTCAAACTGTGATCCTCCTGATCTTAGCTTCCCAAGAAGCTAGGATTATAGGCGTGAGCCACTGGCCCCCAACCTTTTGTTTTGTTTTTGAGACAGGGTCTTCCTGCTACCTTTGTTTGGGCTGGACTTGAACTCAAAATCCTCCTGCCTCCACCTCCCAAGTAGGTGGAATTAAACACATGCCACCATGCCTGGCTTAATAGAAGCTTTTAAGTCTATTGGTAAATTCTCTAAGTTGCTCATGTAAAATTGTTTGTGTTTTTTCTTTGCTGCCCTTCTTCATAGTGAGCTTTTGCTCACCTCTGTATTGAGTGCAACTGTCAAGAAACCCAACTTTATGTAAGGAATATACTATTAGTCTTTCATATTATGTGGGGCCAGGCATTATGACTGGTCTCTTCTGCTGCATACTACACTCAAACTGATAGTTCAAGTTCACGTGGGTTGGGTTTGGCAGATGCTATTTTTTTTAAAGCAGGCACTCTCCTGCTTGAGTCACACCTTCAGCGGCAGAACTCTTGAAGCAAAGGCTGATGTCAAGTTCACTTTTCCCCCAAATTACTGATCTCACTGTGCTTTCATACATTGAGAATTTTTTTGACAACTGGATGATTTTGAAAGGATACTTTCTACTTTATCCAGCTTTGTAGTTACTTTTTTGGGACTCTTACTTTCATACTTCCAGACATGGGGTATGTCACAGTCCTGTTACTGGGATGTATCCAGTGATCTCTGTTGCAGCTACCTGCTTTGAACAAGCCAAGACCTTGTCTTCTGTCCTAGGAATAACAACTAAAACCCAAGGATCTATGGTGCCAGCTGATGTTGATGGACACCTGTAGGTCAGTTGTGGTCTCAACATCCTTTTGGCCACTGGGGCTTATGGACACCAACAAACTATGTGTACTCACTATAGCAATTATATGCACAGAAAAATGAAGCCAGGTTCTGTGATCGCAGTAGATTCACCTTCTAACGGACTTCTGTGCCTTGCTGCTTCTTGCTCAAGACAACTTAAAAAGGAAGACTTCTTGCTCATGAGACGTCATGAGTTAGATACTTTGCCCCTTATCTTCCTTACAGTCAGAACTCTTGGAGAGTCTGGTGAAAGTCACAAGCCTTCCTCCAAGAAAATCCAATGCCAGGCAGAGTATAGGGTACTCCATTAGGGGGTTCCTGATCCTCTGCTTAGATCATCAAGCATGTAATTATTTTTATTCCTAGAGATGGGTTTGGGGTCTCAGGTCTCAGTTTTGGTGGGCTCTGCTTCCGTGGAAACTCACGATATATGCACATATCCCTAGAACTAACCAGAAAGCTTTGCACTGCTCTGTGTTTTCTATGGATACATTTTATATTTAGCTGTTTCCACATAATTAAGTGATTGTTTTTGCCTATGGGCCTACAGTCTATGGGAAAGTCTTTTTTTTTTTTTTTTTGAGGCTATGTAGCCCAGGTTGGCTTTGAACTCCCTATGTAACCCAGGCTGGACTTGAACTCATCTTGCCTAAACCTCCTGAATAATGTTTGGATTACAGGTTTGAACTACCATGCCTGGCTTCAGTGGATTTTTTTTTTTTTTTTTTTTTTTTGCAGTACTGGGGATTGAACTCAGAGCCTCAAATTGCTAGGCAAGTGCACTAACATTTGAGGCCATGCCCCCACTCCTTTTGCTTTCAATTTGTTTTTCAGATAGTCTCCAGCTAACTTTGCTGGGCTGGCCTTGGACTGTGATCTTTCTACCTCTGCCTCTTGAGTAGCTGGAATCACAGTCATACCCCACCATGCCTGGATAGCAGATTTTTACAAGCTAACACTCTGTCTCCCTCTTTGCCTGTCTGTGTAAATCTCAGTCTTTTTGTGAGTCCCTGAGTTCTAATCAGGCCTATTCTCTAAACTCCTGGAGTTCCTTTCCATGTGTAATACCAGTGGCCTGAACTAAACAGCTATACTTTAGAAGCACTTTGAACACCATGGGGGCTGGCAGGACAAGGGACTGTGTGGAGGGGTCCTCACCCCCAGCACTGCTTCTTCCAGAACAGCTCTGCTTTTGTGTGCATTATTTTATTATTTATTTTTTGGTAGTGCTGGGGTTTGAACTCGGGGCCTCTAGCAAGTGCTATACCCCTTGAGCCATGCCCCTTCCTTTTAGCTTTAGTTATTTTTCAGATAGTCTCACATTTTTCTGCCCAGCCCTCCTCAAACTGAGATCCTCCTACCTATGTCTTCCAAATAGCTGGGATTAAAGGCACACACCACCACTCACAGTCCTCTATGCACTTGATATACTGGAGCAGGAGCAGAATTTATTTTGAGCAAAGTTCCATGGAAGACAGCTGATGCCCATGCATCGATCTACCCTCCACTCCCCCCACTGTGCAGGAGTCCTGTCTCCTGGGCTGCAGGTAGAGGCAAGGAAAGAAGGCATTCTGTCTGACCCAACATTATGGCAGACAGCCCTTCCCCCTGACCCCTTACTTCTGTTCCTAGCTCCAGTTCCAGGAAGGATGTTACCTTGGTTGGTGAGAGTGTTAGTGCTACCGCTTCTGCTGCTCCCCCTGGGTCGGGCTGCCCCAAAGGATGGAGCCACCAGGTAAGGGGCTTAGGAGCTAAGGTGTGAGCCAGGTCAGGGAGAGTCTCTGGAGACCCAAGGGTGTGCTGGGCCCCTGTGGGAGCCAGAAGCCTGGGGTGTAGCCCCTGATCTCTGTACTGCCCTACCCCAATCTCCTGCCTTATGCCTGTCAGGATGTCACAAAGAGGGCCTTCAGGTCATGCTTGCTGGACTCCTTTGAAACAGAGCTAGCAGCCAGGGAAGTGGCTGTGGTCCTTTAACTGAGACTCATAGAGGGAATGCCAAAGAAATAGATTGTTAATATATCCTTTCTACTTTTTTTTAATGTGGGACTCAGGGTTTCGCACTTGCCCAGCAGCTGCTCTACCACTTGAGCCATACCTCCCATCCATTTTGCTCTAGCCATCTTGGAGATGGGGCCTCATGAACGATTTCCCCAGAGCTGGCCTTGAACCTTGACCTTTGGCCAGGTGACTCAGCCAGACACCTGTCCATCTCCCATAACCAAAGGAGAAGGTTGCCACAAGCCACCAATCTCAATCTCCCAAGTAGCTAAGATTAGAGGCGTAAACTACCAGCATCCAACTTGTTTCTATTTCATTAGAATTGTTTTTTGGAAGTCTTATTATTCATGCTCCATGGTGGGGATCATGGGTAGGAGGGAAGACAGGTAGAAATAGACTCGAGGACTGGTAGCAGTGAACAAAGTGGCTGCAGCAACAATCGCCAGCTCTGCCATCACAGACATGGACCAATGTGAGTAAACAGTAGCCCCAACCAGAACTGGGAACACATTTTGAGTTTTAAAGACTGACCAAGAGACTCTGAGAAGATTGAAACCCCAAACTGACCATCTGCTTTCTGCTTGAAAACCCAAGAGGCAGTTATGTGTCATGGAGAAAACTGGATCGGTATACACCTGGGCAGTGCCGCCAGACTCAGCCAGACACTTGTCCATCTCCCATAACCGAAGGAAAAGGTTGCCATAAGCCACCTTGTCCTGCCACCCACTTGGTGGTCTTGAGCCTCTACCATGTGTCTTCTCACATGGTGTGACCTCATTGGCCTTAATCTCACCAGATATTTTCCTTTGGTTTTCTGATTTTTTTTTTTTCTGGTGGTACTGGGTTTTGAACCAAGGTCCTTGCATTCGCTAGGCAGGTACACTACCACTTAAGCCAATCCACCAGCCCTTTTTGGGTTTTCTAACATCTAAGTAGGGCAGCTGCAAAAACAGTCTGAGGGAGTAAAGTTCTGCTTTCAGGGCCACCAGAAGGGCTTCTTCCCCACAAGGTTTTTGGGAATTTGGGGGAGCACCTCCTTTTGGGGCTGCTGGAAGGCAGGGGTGGGAGGTAGATAGGCCAGGTCTACAGATGCTCTCTGCAAGGTTGGTCCTTCCCTCCTCACTCTAGGCTGGCCCCAGAAGTGCAGCAGCAGCCCCTGTCCAACCCCTTTCAGCCAGGCCCAGAGCAGCTCCGGTGAGTATGCTGGGCTGAGGGCTTTCAGAAAGAAGGTCATGCCTGGGGCTATAGACTGAACTCTCTTGGCTGATTTGCCACTTTTCTGACAGGCTTCTGCAGAACTATCTAAAGGGATTAGAGAAGATGAAGAGGGAAGAAGAGCCAGAGGACATGAGCCGGAGCAGGGTAAGGGGCTGGGCTTCTGGGATGGGGTGGGTGGAGGGGGAGGCTAGGAGGCTTGGGACAGCAGAGCTGGGAGTGAGTGCCAGGTCCTCTGTAGACTCTGTTCTTTTCCACCTGCCATGGTAGCGTCTTCTAACCAGCTTTCTCTTCCCTAGTTCTCCTCTACCTCTTTGCCTTCCATGACTATGACCAGAGTGGAAAGCTGGATGGCTTGGAGCTGTTGTCCATGCTGACAGCAGCTCTGGCCCCTGGAGCTGCTAACTTTCCCATCAACCCGGTAAGCTCTGTGGGAGACTGCAGATCAGCTTCCTGGTGCTTTGGACTTTTTCATCTTAACTTTTGGTGGATCCCCTGTGAAAGGGGTCTCAGAGCTGGCATGGTAGGGATGGGAGTGTTGGGAAGGGATGGGGGCATCTCTGGTGACTGGAGACCCCATGGGGACTCTGTGCTTCCACAGGTGATCCTGGTAGTAGACAAGGTGCTTGAGACCCAGGACTGGATGGAGACGGGCTCATGACCCCTGCAGAACTCATCAACTTCCCAGGAGAGTTCCCCAGGCATACAGAGTCCAGAGAGCCCCCTGCACCAGCTCCCCAGGAGCCTCAAGCTACTGGGAGGCTAGCTGCTAAAAGCCCACTGAGACAAGAAATCCACGAAGCCCTGGAGCCCCAGGAAGAAGCTGGGGGCCAGGAAGAGGCCAGAAGGGAATCCTTAGAGCCTATGCAGGAGGCTGGGCTTCAGACAGGGGTCCAAGGAGATGCCCCAGGTCCTGGAGGGGAGGCTAGAGAACAGGTAGAGATGGAAGGAGATGCCCCAGGTCCCATAGAGGGTGCTGGGGGACAGGAAGAGGCCGGGGACCATGGAGGGGAAGCCAAAGAGCTTCCAAGGGAAACACTGGAGTCCAAGAACAGCCCAAATGAGTTTGAGGTTCATAGTATTCAGATGGACAATGATGAGATATAAACCATGAGGATGCAGGCTTGTACCCCCAAATTCTCAGTTTCAGAACATAAGCTTGAAGCGGGGGTGTTATGTTAGGACATGAATCACCTTTTAGTTGGTTGTGTTAAAACGCACAAGTAATCCCAGCATTCAGGAGGTTAAAGCAGGAGAATCACGAGTTCAAGGCCAGCCTGAGTGACATAGTAAAACCTTCTCTTAAAACAAACAAACAAAAATCTCTGTGTCCCCTTCTTGGCCCCAGCAGGAGAGGTCTTTCTGTGCAGGTCAGGGAGATGCTAAATTGAGGGGCAGCTTTCAGCCCCAGACAACCAATAAAGAACAGAATGAATTCATCCCTGGGCCGTCTCTCCATGGGTCCAGGCTGCCTAGGCCCTGTTCAGGGGCACAGGAGCTTGGGGACTTGATAAGCCTCTTGGAAGGACAGAGATCGAGCTTTCCCAGTGCTTCTGGCCGGAGGGTCAGCAGCACTAGCCATGGTCAGCTGCAGACAACCCATGAAGAAAGCTCAGTCTCATGTCTCAAACACCTGGTTCTCCTTCCTTCTGGTGTTTGGACTCCATGCCCTGCTGCAACCCAGGGCCGATAGTCCACACGACCCCGCTTCTGCCCTCCTGTCCCCAGTAATATTACCATTTTCAAAAGCCTGGTATACAGCAGGTGCTATGCTGGCATTTTATATTTTTATCCTCACAATAATTTTATGAATGGGCAAAACTAGCTCCATTTGACAGATGAGGCAGTTAAAGAAGATGGAATGAAGTGATGAACCCTAATTAAATGAAAGCTTTGAATTCGGGTCTGCCTGACACTAAATCCCGTGTTCTTGATTATGCTACATGGCCTCAGCTCCCACCCCACCCTACTCCACCTATATGAAGTCGGCCCTCAATTCCAACAGGCCATGTGGATCTGACTTCCCCAGGGGACTGCAGCATTCTGTATTGGGTCACAGTTGTGGCTGAAGTACCACTTCACTGCAAGGCAGGCTCCAAGGCTGGGGCTTTCAGGCTCTGGGGTTGCCCATGGGAGGCAGTGTTTTTGGACTATGAAGGCCCCATGGAACCGCAGAGCAGACTCTGCTCACTGCCTATTGTTGGCTCAGCTGTATGGACTGTTAGCTCCTGTCAATCTGCACAGTGCAGGGGTTCTGAGGACTTTTCCTCGTGGCTTCTGGTTATTTGGACAGCTGGGGAGCTAACTGCTCACCCCAACCAGGAGGGCTCAAGGTCTCTACATCTCTCCCTTCCCCCGCCTTGGCTGCTCTCATCAGGGAGAGCCCAGCTTCCCATACTCTGGGGACAGCTGGTGGTAAGGCTGGGGTACTTCCTGCTGTTGTAGCCTAGGCAGCCACTCCTCTGGGCCTGAGTAGGGTGGTTAATCTGGAAATGGAGGAAAAGAGGGAGGGACTAGAATGTCAAAGCTTCAGGAATGTCAACCAGAGCAGTACAAACATCAAGAAGGACAAACATGACCAGAGGAAACTGGCTCAGGGGAAGGAGCTTTATTTGTTCTGAGGCTCTGCAGGGTGAGATGCAGTGTGACAAAGGGCACAGGCAGAGTCCTTTCAACAGCCCACATCTGCCCAGGGAGCAGAGCAGCCAGCTACCAGGCTGGATGGAGAAGAGAAGACCACAGCAGGCAGTGATGCCAGCCTCCAAGGGGGGTGCTGAGTCGGTGCCTCCTACCACATGGCTTTCACACAATGCCATCAAACCCCTGCAGGCCACACTTCTTGCCAGCCACCTGGCAGCCAAACCTCAGTGCCTCTTGCATGCTGTTCCCTGAGAGGGGTAGGGATGATGAAACAAAAGTAACTGAATCAGCAGGTGTTCTGAACAGGGGCAGGCCTCAACCTTGCTTCCTTCTGCTGGGGTACTTACCCTGGGAAAGGCTGAAGATGACGGAGGCATTGAAGGTGTCTCCCGCCCCCAGGGTGTCCACTACTCTGGGAGGCGGGAAGGCATCTGAGTGCAGCAGCTGGCCATCAGGACCCAGGGCATCCGCACCATTCTCAGCCCAGGCACAGATGAGTGTAGCCCTGCAAGTCCTCCACTCAGCTGGGAGTCAGTCCACCCCATCCCCCAGACCCAGCAGGACAGACTCCTGAAGTAGAGGCTCACCCCCACCCTAACCCTCTAGGTCCCCTTCCTGGCTTCCCCACTCACCCTTTCCTCACACGACTGTACAAGCCCCTTAGGGCTTCTGCTGCTGACTGGAACCCCAAGTGCTTGGCTATGTCTTTGCTGACAAACACCTGTGGGCATGGAAGACAGGCTGGCAGCCACCTCCGACTAGTCACTCACCACCAGTAGCCCAGTGTTTCCCCCATGAAAAAAACCCCAGCAGAGCTACATAAATCCCAACATGGCATCTCACTGTACTGTAGGAACAGGTTTTTACACTTGCTACAGATGTGCTAGAATACAGCCTTGTAAATTGTGACACCAAAGCCTTGGTCTGTTTGTTTTGGATCAGTAAATTGAAAACTCAGAAAGAGCCTGGAGCGCCATCTTGGGGTGAAACCTACCAGGTGCAGTCAAAACTTGCTGGCAATCCTGAGTGAACCTTGTTTTGTTTTGTTCCTCACCATTCCCCTCAACAACTATGTCCTCCTCATTTGTTTAAAAAAAATTTAAAAAAAGCAACAAGGATTCTAAATTGAATTTCCAGGGATAGTTTTGCTGAAAAATAGAGAATCCCTGTCTCTACCTCTACCAATTCAATAAAAAACAAGAGGTGGGCCTCCATAGTTTTAAATTATGCACCAAGGCTGAGGACCAGTGGCTAGACAGTGTCAACCAGCTTCTGCTATGCCGCTAGGAGTATCCTGAATTCCACATACACCCAGCCCTGCCCTGATTTACTTGGTGCAGGTCTTCTTCCCACCCTCCCCTCACTCCTAGTGGCTGCCACCCATCTCAGAGGTGGAAGAGACCTGGAGCCTCCAAGAACGGTTTGATCCCCTCCTTTTGCTGAGGAAGACAATGGAGGAGGCCCAAGGGGAGATGCATGTGGCTGTCTGGGCCTTGTCCAAGCCCTCTGGGTATCCTCATTCCTTCCCAGGAGAATGACAGGCAGGACCAGGGGCCCGCGTGGCCCCTCTAAAAACTCAGTTAGCTTTGGATGTGGGGCACTCACCACCTCGCCATAGCTAAACAGCTGGTACAGCTCTTCTCGGGGCTTCTCTATCTCCACGGACACCCGGATCTTCTGCGGCGGAGGCTGGCTGGCATTGTGCTCTTCTATCCTACGCAGCATCTTCACCTGCTCAGATGCATTCCGGCCCTATGGCAGGATAGGGCAGCTCAAGCAGTGCCCAGCTGATAGAGCTCACTCTTCCCTCCCTTCTGGAACTCTGGGTGAGGAGGGAGAAGGTTTGGGGGAGGCTGGGCTGGAACCCCATCCTAAGCCACAAAATTCTAGGGCTGCCACAGACCTTGGAGACCTTGTCAACAGCTTTTCCATTTCACAAATGAGACTAAAGAATAAAAGAAGCTGCGAGTGCTGGAACATGCCTATAATCCCAGCACTTGGGAGGCTGAGGCAGAAGGATCTTGAATTCCAGGCCAACTTGGGCTATGTAGAAAGACAGTTTCTTTCTTTCATTTTTATTGTCTGTTTTTTCTTTTCTTTTCTTTTTTTTTTTTTTTTTTAGAGACAAGTTCTCACTATCTAGTCCAGGATGGCCAGAACTTGTTATATAGCCCAGGTTGGCCTCCAACACACAATTCTCCTGCCTCAGGCCTCCTGAGTACTGGGATTACAGGCATGTACCACTATGCCTGGCAAGAGCTATACTTTCTGAAGAACCAATAATGACAGGGCTAAGAATGGAACTCAGGACTTCTTGGGGTTTCCTCTCACTTAGACTCTAAAACTTCTCCCCTAGAGTGAAGGTTCCAGTTCTCTTTATTTGGGAACTGGGTCAGGTCTTCTCCTCCCTGCTTCCCAGTAATAAAACAGGTCAAGCCCTAAGTAGCTAGGGCCAGAGTTGGCCATACACAAAGAGCACTGGATTTCACCTGGAGCCAGCTATGCCTACATCCTGCTGTGTCACCTAATCTTTCTGGGCCTTAGTTTCCTTACCTGAAAACATTAGGAAGTGTGGAGAGGGGCTGAGGGATGATTCATTTATCTCTAAGGTACTTCACGGTTCAAAGAAATCAAGAAGGAGCTAGAGCATGTAGAGGCACCTGGCATGCTGAACCCCTAAAACACAGGTAGAGCTGGGCTTGCCTCAATGTGGATCCACTTGAACCGGGTCAGATCAACCTTCTCGAAGTCCTTAGCAGACACATCTGGTAGGTTCCTACATCACAAGATGGACAGGACAGAAAAGAAGGGGCCTGGTGAGGTCAGCCAGAGCCAGGTTATCCAACTGCTGCTGGGGACCCTATGCCTAGCACACTGCCAGCAGCATGGCAAGAAGCTGAGAAGCACAGGGTTCTCAGGCTCGCTCTAGGAATGTCACAGTTTGCTGAAGGGTCCCTTTCTGAGTTCAGTGCCTGATGTTATCTAGGAGTAAACTCAGCTGCAGCATGTGGTCAAGGAGCCAGCTCGTGTGCCTTGGAGACCACACCTCCCAGAATGCCTGAGTGCTAGGGACTACACTTCCCAAATCCCCTTTGCTGGCAGTACACAGCTCCCAGCATGCAGCGCCTCAGCGAACTAGAAAGCCCATGGCTGCCTTGCAGGGTAACTTTTCCTACCCCAGCATTGGTAGCTTGCCTGTGACAAGCACAACACCATGTCCTGAGTTTGGCAGCTCCCTGTCTCCACCCTAAGGACAAAGGTGGCACTTGAGGTTTTTTTTTTTTTTTTTTTTTTTGGTGCACTGTTCCTGGAGGTTCTGCAATACCAGGTTGATGCGTGGAGTGGACGGAGCAAGCTCCTATTCCATCTCCTTGTTCCAAAAATCCATTTAATATATTGTCCTCGGATAGAGGACGTATCAGATATTAAACTGATAAGAACAGATACTACACTTGATCTTAGCCAAAAGGCCAAGAAGGGATGGCACTTGACTTTTAAGTTTGGTTGACCTAGGTGTAGAGTCCCAAGAAAGGGTCTTCTTCAACACTCCTTGGCCAGAGACCTACACACAGCTGATGTCCCCCTCCTTCATCCTACTTACTATCTGTGTGACTTTCTGAGACTGCTTCCCCCATCTGTGCACAGTGCTGGGAGCCCTAGCCTTAGGCCTGCTGCAGGTGGAGGTATGTGTGTGAACAGCCTGCACCAAGGCCAGTGAGTAATAAACATTTTTCCTTAGAACTCCTTTCCTCCCTTCTCATGAATGCCTATCTGTGTCCTTGATCAGAGTGGCTACAGATTGTTGCTTTCTGGCAGGTAACAAGGGAATGCCCGATCTGAAGGAATGCCTAGCACACGTGTACCCACATATTTATGTTAGGATATACAGAGCCCAAGCATCATAAATCTGTCCTGAAATGACTTCCCAGGTCCAGTGGTCATGTTAGGCAGTAGGGAGAGCCTTAACCCAAGGCAGCTGAACTCAGGCCTTCCCAGTCCTAATCCAGTACCTGTCATATACTAAATTCTCAGTAAAATGAACCTCTGAGACTATTCAGGAGGGAGTCAGGTGGGATGAAAGGGATGGAGGCCCACCCTTACGACCCAGAAGTGATGTTTTTCTGTCCATGTTAGCACTACATCCTGCAGTCCTGATCTGCTGACCCAATGTTTTCCCTCCTCCTCCTTCAGCAATGGCTGCAAACAGTGTATGTGTGGTGTGTTTGATTTCATCTTGCAAGGATCTTTGGGGTCTCATCCCTTTGGACCAACCAAGTCTCAGCTCCTTGGTGCCATGCTGCAGGCTGGCAACTCTTGGATTGATCTTGGAAATCCCAGTGGGTCCCCTAACCTTACGGGGTTTGAGATGAGTTGACTCACATCTCGCACCCCTCTGTCCTGGGAACAATTTCTCCATACCCAAGATGCTGATTGATTAATTATGGAGGAATCATATCATCAATTACATTTTGTATAGGACTGCCTGCTCATCATTAGTGTTGACCAAGGTCAAGTCACCAGGCAGAGCAGAGCCTACCCCTTCCCACCTCACTTCTCCCCTAATTAAAAACAATTCAGAAATCACTGAACAGCTTGGCACAGGGACAATTTCTGGCCCAGAGAAGCCATGGGTGGGAGGCAGCAGGATGCCCACAGTGGTGAGTGAGGGAACTGATTGGTGGGTTGGGCAAGGGAGAGGCTGGGCGCCTTACGTGTCGTAGAGTATAATGGTACGGGAGCCACTGGAGTTGTTGACGATGCAGCAAGAGCAAGGGGTATCCCCTTTACTCTGCCAGGCTACGTGAGACACATCCACGCCCTGCTGCCTGAAGTCAGCCACCAAGAAGCTTGAGGTGGAGACCGAGCCAGGGAGAGGGCAAGGAGACACAGGTTAGAGCCTACACATGGAATGGACCTACCCCAGAAGTGGGAAGGGGTACTGCAGTACATGGGCCTCTGGGAGAAGAAGGGTCCTGTTCTGGGAGTTCGGTGACAACGGCAGCAGCTGGCAAAGCACAGACAGGTGTACAAACCTGTAGGCGTGCAAGATGGTGCGGCTACCACTGGCCTCGTTGATGATGACTGTGGAGATGGGGATGGAGCCTGTGGACTGAAAGACCAAGTAGCGTAGATCCACAGAATAGCGGCGGAGGTCATCCAGGACAAAGCTGCCAGGTGGAGCAACCCAGGGGGAGGGGCAGGCAAAGGTTTGGGGGACTGGAGGATAATTGGCAAGGGTGCATGCAGAAGGGGCTAGGAGAGAACTGGGAATCCCAGTTTTGTCACAGGCTGTGCCAGGAGGCAGAAAAGACAGGGGTGCAGAGCCTGGAGCTCAGAGCTAGAATCCAGAAGACATTCTTTCATTCCAACTGAGGCTGGAAAGAGTTTGCTATTGGTCATCAATCTAGATGGGGTAGATTTGGGACCTAGACTCTGTATCCTGTTTGAACCAAGCTGGTGTGGGCACTGTGACCTGTTTTATGTCAGACCCAGGCAGAATTAATCATTAATCACCAAGGCGATACTTTGCCCCCCTCCCAGTTGCCCTCTGTGGTACTCATGCCTATGGTGATCTCCTCTGGAGTCCCTTCTGTGATTCCTCACTCTACATTTCCTCCAGGATGCCCAGCCAAGAAGTGGTGCTGACCTAGTGGGCCTGCTCACTGTCCTGCCCTCCAATTGCCCTCACCCTGGGCAGTAAGCTCTCTATGGCCTGGTTGAGGATGTCTTCCTTGAATGTCCTCCAGTCAGTAAGCCCAAGGACATCCCCTTAGAAAGAATGCACCAGGGCTGAGGGTGTGGCTCAAGTGGTAGAGTGCCTGCTTAACAATTATGAGGCCTGAGTTCAAACTCCAGTACCACCAAAAAATAAAAAAAGAAAGACAACACCAGCAGGAGAGCAAGGAGGTCAGCTACTTCTCCCAGGAAGTGCAAGAGCCCCAGCACTCCAGCTACCATCCTGGTTTTTTTCTGACCAGACCCAACTTTCAACAGCACCAAAACTGGATAAGACAGGGTTGTAGGTAACAAAGCCTGTACCTCAAGGGTCCTTTAAATAGTGATTTTCTCAAAGAATCAGAAATATGGTTTGGTTTGCCAAATAACTTTTTATACCCACAGTGCCTGGTACATGGTAGGAGCCCTTTAAATATTTGTGGAACACGTGGACATTCTGAATGGCACACCCACCAGCATGACAACTTTGTGGAGAGCCTACTACCCTAAGGAGCAGTCACAGTTTTGCTCTTCTGGAGGGAAGGAACTATTGAATAGTGTTAACAAGTGACCAGCCCTTGTCTCCTAATCCCTCTGTCCCTTCTCTAGGACAGATTCTCTGCCCTTATTTGCCTTGTGCCAGCTCACCAAGGCAGGGGGTTTGGCTCTGGCTCAAATAGTGGGGCCTTGGCAGCAGCCCTCTCAAACCAAGGTTCACAGGGCTACACTTCACAGGTCAACAAACTGGCAGTCTGTCCCAGTGCTCACAGGGGCAAAGTATGGGCCTCACCTCCTGATAAGTGCTTGCCGAGTCAGCAGTGCCCGGGGTCAAAGGGCTCTTGGGTCCTTGCAGCAGCCAATATGGAAAAGCACGTGGGCCACTTATGGGCTGCAGCCTCCACAGCGAGCTGGGAGGTGTGAGCTCTGGGCCAAGCTTTAGCATGTAGCCTTGGGGTGTCCTGAGCAGGGTACTCTGACGCCTTCAGTGAACATGAGGACATGACCCTGCCCTTCAACAGGGAAAAAAACTATGGACCTCCTCCCTGGGACAACAGATGCTGCACCTCCCTGAGAAAGGGTGGGTACAATATGTCCCTAACTGCTTCTGCCTCAGGCACAGCCAGGATAAGGGACTTAAGAGGGGCAAAGGCAAGTCCACCAAGGAGTCTATAGGAAACAAGGAAGGAGAAGGTGGGGACACCTAAGCAGCGAAATTGCAAGCAGTAGGAAGTTTTCACAGGAGCGGCATTAACACCTAACAGCAGACAGACCACATCCTTCTTCTCTCTATCCCCCAAAGGCAAGCCTCCCCCAACAGGTACCCCATCCTGGACTTACTCCGCGACAGGGCCAGGGGCCAGCGAGCCCATGAAGGCACAAGGGGCTCCGAGCAGGGCAAGGACAGTGCAGGAGTTGGATGCGTTGCCTCCACGCTGCCATCGCTGGGACAGGCACCTGCAAAGCACCAGGCAGGACCCTGCAGCCCCAGCAGGCTGCTCCCAGGAGAAGCAGGGTCAACCATAGCCCCTGCGTAGGTGTCCACAGGACGACCCTGGGAGCAGATCCTGGAAGAGATGGGAGCAGCTAGGTGGCAGCTGTTCTCTACATATTGCATCTGAGGCTCAGCCAAAGGAAGGGGCTTAGCTGCCAGCCAGGTCTGTCCCCCAGTTGGGTTGCATTCAAGCTCACAGCAGCAATTACTTTGACTGCTTCACCTGTTCTCAGGAAATCGGAAAACCATCCACTGGGTCCATCACAATTTGAAGGTTCTGCTAAGTCTAGGTCATCTCCTCCTCAGTCACAATGAACCCTTTTCCCTGGTCAGAGCTGTTCCCGGAAGGCTGTACCCTAAGCCTCCTCCTCGATGACCTGACCAACTTCAAGGATTCAAAGACCAAATGCCTTTTCCCAAAAGGATCACATTTACTACCTCTTCCTGTTCCAGTACAGCCCACTTTAATAAAAACTGCTGAGTTATAAAACAAAATGAGCAGATAGGAGAGCAAACCCAATGTTGTGTTCATTTATGAAATGCGTGTAGCTCAGCAAAGCACTAGCCTACATGCCCAAGGCCCTGGGTTCCATCTCCAGCATCATTTAAAAAATTTGGGGAGGCTGGGAGAGTGGCTCAAGTGGTAGCGTGCCTGCCTAGCAAGCATGAGGCCCTGGAGTTTAAACCCAGTAGTGCATGTTGGTGGGAATGTAGACTAGTACAACCACTCTGGAAAAAAATTTGGAAGCTACTTAAAAAGCTGGACATCGATCTACCATTTGATCCAGCAATACCACTCTTGGGGATATACCCAAAAGACTGTTACTCCAGAGGCACCTGCACATCCATGTTTATTGCGGCACTATTCACAATAGCCAAGTTATGGAAACAGCCAAGATGCCCCACCACTGACGAATGGATTAAGAAAATGTGGTATCTATACACAATGGAATTTTATGCAGCCATGAAGAAGAACGAAATGTTATCATTCGCTGGTAAATGGATGGAATTGGAGAACATCATTCTGAGTGAGGTTAGCCTGGCTCAAAAAACCAAAAATCGTATGTTCTCCCTCATATGTGGACATTAGATCAAGGGTAAACACAACAATGGGATTGGACTATGAGCACATGATAAAAGCGAGAGCACACAAGGAAGGGGTGAGGATAGGTAAGACACCTAAAAAACTAGCTAGCATTTGTTGCCCTTAACGCAGAGAAACTAAAGCAGATACCTTAAAGCAACTGAGGCCAATAGGAAAAGGGGAACAGGTACTAGAGAAAAGGTGAGATCAAAAAGAATTAACCTAGAAGGTAACACCCACGCACAGGAAATCAATGTGAGTCAATGCCCTGTATAGCTATCCTTATCTCAACTAGCAAAAACCCTTGTTCCTTCCTATTATTGCTTATACTCTCTCTACAACAAAATTAGAAATAAGGGCAAAATAGTTTCTGCTGGGTATTGGGGGGGGGAGAGGGAGGGGGTGGAGTGGGTGGTAAGGGAGGGGGTGGGGGCAGGGGGGAGAAATGAACCAAGCCTTGTATGCACATATGAACAATAAAAGAAAAATGAAAAAAAAAAACCCCAGTAGTGCAAAATAAATAAATAAATAAAAATTTAAAAAGTTTTTAAAAAGGTGTGTGGTATGTGGGAGTGACTTTTACATCAAAAGCTCAAATACATCCCAACTACAGGGAAAGCATAAATAGAAGGATCATGGTTCAGGCCTGCCAGGGCATAAACACAAAACCCTATTCAAAAAACAAGGAAAGCAAAAAGGACTTGGGGGATATGGCTCAAGTGGTAGAGCACCTGCCTAGTAAGTGTCAAGACCCTGAGTTCAAATTTCCCCACCAAAAAAAAAAAAACTCAAAAGATTATGGAGTACAGACCAGTTGTTCTCCATCATTTAACTGGCCATCTGAAACTAACAAGATACACCTGAAGGACTTCACAGTTATCACCAACCGAAATAATGTACACACATACAATCAAAGCACTTTAATGATTTCTCACTTGTGCTCTAGTAATGCTGCAAAAGGGAAAAGTGTAGGTGGTTATTTCTGTTGTGCCAGTTCCAAATATTAATAACAACAACAACAATAATAATAGTGGCAGTTTACAAAAAGAGAAACAAAAACCAAAGAAAAATTAATTCGAGAAAAAACAGAAGCCGAGAATGGTGGTACCTATCTGTAATCCCAGCAACTTGGGAAGGGAGTTCTGAGGCAGGAGGATTGCAAGTTTGAGGCCAGCCTCGGTTACACAGAAAGACCCTGTCTCAAAAAATAAAACCATCACCAATAAAACAGAGAAATTATAGAACCAGAATTTTTAGGCTTAACTATATTTGTACACAAAACTTAACCTGAAGTTCCCTTCGGCCTTGGGAAAAGGGGAGCATGTCCTCATTAGGAAAAAAAAGATATAAATTTGTAAAGGGCAAAGATCTGTCCATGAAAAGAAAGGAGGAGCCTAGAGGAAGAGGACCTGCTCAAGGTCACACCAATAGTTGAGTTTTGGCAGTACTGGGGTTTGAACTCACGCTTCCTAAGCAGGCGCTCTACCACTTGAGCCATTCTGCCAACCCACACCAATAGTCAATGACAAAGCTGACATCAGGGCCCAGTTTTCCCGACTCTAAAGCCATTGCTATTTACCCTCTGTTTATTTTTATTAGCATATATAAATTGTACAAAGTGAGGCGTTTCACTGTGGTATTTCCATACATGTACACAGTGTACTTTGATCACACTTGCCACCTCTATTTCTTATTTTTAAATGAAAAGCAGTTAGGCCCAAGCTTCCATGGGGTTTCTAAGAAAGGGTATAGGATTTCACTGGGGAAACTTTCAAAGGCACGCTGATACTTTCTGTGCAGAAATGCTCTGCAGAACACAAGCATGCTTTCTGGAAGGGCCTATTTGGCATGGACTGTGGGAGGCAGGGGACATTTTCTCAGGGGTCTGACTGAGTTCCAAGACCTGAGAGACCGTGGGACAGACAAGGCTGAGATACCCAGGAAAGACGGGTCCTACTCAGGCTTGCTCTTCTAGAAGGACCAAGAGAGTCCAGGAGTGGAGCTGTAGGAATCAGCTCTATGGGCAACAGAGGGAGGCACACCCTGAGGGCAGGGAGGCTGGCAGAACCTCCCGTAGTAACCCCCTTCTGAACCTGCCCCATTAGAATGGGAGCTAGCCGACAATCCCCTCTCCTTCCATACAATCAAGGTCAAGAGGAATGGGAGCTCTAGTGGAATGAGGCAGTTCCCATCTTCCCAGGCCCAATACAGTCCTTAAAGAGCCTGCAGTCCATAAACTTGCATATTTTCCTGAAATTTGCATTTTCTTCAGAATAAGCCTTACTCCCCACTGAGCATGGGTTCCTGGGGTTGGCTCCACCTTGGTAAGTAGGTAAAGGTCTACACAGCAGCACACCCTGTACCTCACTGTCCCTGCAACTCTGGCAAGGAGCTCTAACTTTTGGCAAACAAAGCAGCACAAAGTGAAGGGTAAACTCCACGAGGTGGGCGGTAGCGACAGAAGCTGGAGCACTAGATACCGAGCTTGCAGACGGGAGTTGTCATTGCTGCTCTGCCACTAATAAACATGTGGCCTGATTTAAAAAATCATTTAATTCCTCTAAACCTTCAGCTTCCTCAGCTATAAAAAGGATCTGAGTGCACATAGTGATGGAGTTCTGTGAACCAAAATCCCGCAGAACACCGCATCCTCATGCTTGGATTAGCCTTGAGGCTATCAACACTGCAGCATCTCATTAGGTTCAGCCTTAAACTGCCTTTCATTCAGTTCTCAGCTGAGACAGCTGATGACCCAGAAGCAATTCTCAGTGCTTGCAGTGCTGGATTACACTAAGCCAGTGTCCCACCCGCAGAAATGAGTTCACGGCATGACAGCATAACAAGAGTAAAGAACGATCAAAGGACCCTTCAACTTCCACCAGACAACTGGGAAGGATAGGTCCAATATGTCTGTTGTTCATCCATCCTTGTTAAAAAAATTTAAAAAAAAAAGGATTTCTGGTAGACTCGTTTTGGAACTTAGCACCAAAGAAAAGCTTGCTGTGGCTAATGAACCAGATCTGCCCCTAACTCAGGGCAGCCCCAGTTTGCCTGCAGTGCCTGAACCCTGAGCTGCAGGCAAAGCTCAAATGTCATGTGTTCTTGAACAATCTAACTGCACATACTCTTACCGTAAGCTACCTCACATCTTTTTTAGCTATAGGTAGGATACATATGTGATCAATAAATAAGAGGTAATTGTTGGTGAGAAGCAAGTGCATGGGCTTGGAGTTAAAGTAACAAAGGAAACGGTCCCAACATCTTATTAGCTGTGTGCCCTTGGACAAATCACTTTATCATGTAGTCTCTACTTGCTTAGCAGTAAAATGGGGATACCCCATACAATCCCAGGGTTGATAGGGGAACTAGCTAACACAGTGTTATTCAAAGCCTGCGTCTTGAGTCCCTGGTCCAAACCTGGAATCCCCTCACTTGGAGGTTGAGCCAAGAGGATAGGGAGTCCAAGGTACAAAGTAAGACTCTCTCTCTCTCTCTCTCTCTCTCTCTCTCACACACACACACACACACACACACACACACACACACACACGGGGGAAGGGGAAAGCCTGTATCTTATTAAGGGTCTCCACTCTCTTCTCTCCTGCTGAGAGTCCCCAGGCGTCCCTGGCAGAGGGCGCCGGTTCTCAGGGTGGACTCTCATGGCCTCACTGCGAGGTCCCTGGCTCAGCAGCCCTGTAGCCTTGGCAGCGAGGCTGCAGCGGCCTCTGAGGTCTCCGAGGGGCCTGGGCGCCCCTACCTGCGGTCCGTGTCCTCCTCTGGGTACTTGTCCACTACATTGATGATGTCCAGCACCACCAGCCCCACGCACAGTATCTGCTTCTCTTCCATGAGGCTGCTCTCCGAGCTTCCTACCTGCCGGGCTGACAGGGTGCCTTGCTGGGCTCGGTCTCTTATCAATTGGAGGATAGTGTCGGGGTTCCCCGGGCTGCCCTGGCTCCTCCCCCGCGGGCGGAGCTCCTCCTGCAGGAAGCCTCCCGCAGCCGCGAGCGGTGCAGTGGGGGTGGCGTGCAGGTTGCCTGGCCCTGCAGATGGCAACGCTTCCCACGTCTCGGCCTCGCTGGTCAGACTCGGAGCCAAAGCAAAGTTCTAGAGCGCGGCCAGGCAATCTCACGAATGCAAAGCAAAAGCGTACCAGTAACGTGCCACCTCCTCGCCCCCTCCTGCACCTGCCGCTCGGACTCCCAGCCCAAGCTTCCGCAAGCAACCCCGCAGCCGCCGCGGCCCGCTCTCCAGGCCCCGCCCTTCCCCCGCCGAGGCTCCGCCTCCGCCGCCCACGAGCCTGTGGGCCGGGCGCGTCACGTGACGCGGAACGCACCCGGCGGCGAGATCTCGTGCCCAGCGCCCCCTGGCGGAAACCTCCGTCTCTTCCTGTCGGGTCCCGGGCCACTGTGCTCCTGCCTACCCAACAACGCCTACTGGAGCAGAATAGTTACGTTTTTGTAGAAAAAAAAACAAGTGTCTTTATTCCTGCATAGTTTAGTATGGCGGTGCGGGCCAGAGCCTGCTCGCGAGCGCCCTGGGGCCGGGTAATAGCCCTATAGGCCGGTGAGGGGGCAAAGGGTGCGAGGACCGGCTCCTGCTCCGCATTCTGGGTCCTGGAAGGGGTTCCGGACGGGACGACTGTCCCGCCAAAAGGCTGGAGGCGGAGACGCTGAAGTCCCGGAGCCGGCGTGCTCCCGCGCGGGGAGCGGCCGCTCTGGGCGCCGGTATCGCGGCGGGGCCGGTGTCCAGACTGCGCCCCGGCCCAGGCGGGAGCCGCCCGCGCTGGCAGTGTGGCCCGCGCAGACAGTTGGGCTGGGGCGGCGGGTCGGTCTACGCCTGTTCCAGGTCCCCGTACAGCAGGGCTCCGCTGAAGATTGTGAGCGGCTCCTCCGAGTGCGCCAGCTGCCCCATGACCAGGTCGATGCAGACCGTGTCCCCGGCCTGCAGCGGCAGGATGAGGCTGAAGACTCCCAGAGCGCCCGGGCTAGGCTGGCTCTCGGCCACCGGCTTATTCTCCAGGCCCTCGGGCTCGTAACCCCCGGAGTCTATGCGGGCCACACCCAGGTTGGAGCGGGACAGCACCGCCTCCACTTTCTCGTGCCGGTGCCCGGTCAGCACTGCGCTCAGCAAGTAGCGTCCCGCCAGTGGCGCGGTGAACACACCTGGGGATAAGGATAGCTGTTAGGAAGGGAAAATGACCAGGGCCAGGGCCAGGAAGGCTTCCGGGAGCCCGTTCAGCACTCCTGGACCACGTAGGTCCTTTCACTTCGATTCCACTAGAAAGCATGCCGCAGGGAATTGGATGCTATGTTCTTTGCTGCACCCCCAGACACTTAAAACAGGGACTGGGCACAAGGAGGCCCCAATAAAGATCTGTGAAGGGAATATCCTCCCACCCCCACCCAGTCCCCCAGCCCTAGCTGCGGTGAGAAAAACCAAGTGGAGGGGGTGGGGGGGGTGTCTTCCCAAATTAGAATGAAAAGATTCAGCTTGTGTGAAGAGGCAAGAATGTATCAGTGCCCAGCTGCACCCATTTCCCCAAGTGCTCAACCCAGCTCCTCCTCCACTTACCTGTCTCTGGGTCATAGTAGCCTCCATCATTGAGCAGGACTCTGTCGAAGGGGATTGTGCCTGGTTCTGATCTGGGCAAACTCAGGGCAGCTGAAAATGCCACCCGGGGCACAGAGACTGCTGGTGCCCCCTCCACTCCTGGGTGAGGGTAGGGTGGGTGTTAGAATGGATGTTCAGTCAGAGCTGGATGACCACCTTCTTCTCTGGGGTCTTTACCCAGGGTGCCCCAGGTCCTCCATCCTCCAGCCCTGAGTTCAGTTCTCCTCCCTTAAGAGTCTAGTGAGAAGAACTTACCCTGTTCACCTTGGGGACCTGTAGGAAGAGCAAAGAGAGCCATGAGAAGGACAGCTCTTACTAAGTCATTCAGCAAACATCTGCTGAGTGTTGCTCTAGATGCTTAGGTGGGTTTCAAAGCAGGAATGGGATATCAAGACAGGGCCCATTCTGTTCAACTGCAAGGCCATGAGCCCTGACCCCAGCCTTTCACACCCCAGATAGCCCTTGTAACTCAGTTTTAATCTCCAATATAGTAGGAGACCAACATTTCCAAAGGCCAAATACAGTGACCATTCCAGCTCCTAGTAACTTTCCTCTATCTTTTCACTCTCATACACTGGGAGTCCTCAATTCCTTACCCATTTCCCCTTCTCTGAAATGCCAAGCCTAGGGCCACCCAAGTGGTTGGCAACCCTAGTTATAGCACAGGTCTTGGTCCACATACCTGGTGGTCCAATGGGCCCTTTTTGTCCATCCTTGCCTGGAGGTCCGGGAGGTCCAGCAGGGCCTGGGGGCCCCTGTGCCCCAGGAGGGCCTGGGGGCCCAGCCTCACCGGAAGGCCCTGTAATGAAAAAACTAAGTTGAAGAAGAGTTCTAAAGGAAGTTACTAATGGATGAGGAAGGTGGTGGCTCTATGGCCAGGAAGATGGGTAAAACAAGTGTGGTTTTGTTGGTTGATGGGGAGATGGATACCTGGCTGACAGAATCACATCCTTCCTCCACCTACAGACATATCTAAGCAACAAGAGAAAGGGCAGGGAGCTAGAACCTTGCATCATGGCTGTGGACACACTGACTCCTAGGGAAATGGGGGGGGCACAATTCATGCTGGAGCAAGGAAGAAGTAGAGGAGATCAAAGCTCCTTGTTGGGGTTAGGAGGCTGGGGGAGGAGAAGGAAATGCCCTCCCCACCTCCCTTTGCCCTTACCAGTGAGGTCCCTCTGGCTGAGCTGCTGCAGACGGTCTTCCAGGACCAGCAGAGAGCTGTTGAGGGCACCAAGCCGTCTTCCTAGGCCTGCCTGCCCCCCTAGCAGCTTTTCTAGCAGGGCTGCCTGGGTCAGGCTCGTGCTGTTAGTTTCCCGTAACCCAGCCCAGAGCCCAGCCACATGTCTGGAAAGGCCCTCTCGTAGGCCCTGCAATCCCCCAGCTACAGTGTCCAGCCGCTCACAGACTCCCTCAAGACGGCCCAATCGACCTTCCAAGCTAGGGCATTGGCCAGCCTGTGCCTGTCCCTCCTCCAGGCCTCGGAAGCGCTCCTCACTCTCTGTAACGTGCTCTGTGGCCTCCTGCTGCAGCCTGTTAATCTCAGAGATGATGCTGTCCTTTGTAGCCCCCAGGTCAGCCAGATCAGCACCCTGGCCCTCCACAGTCGTCTGAAGCTCATGTAGTGAGTCATTGAGAGAGCTGAAGGTGAGAATGACCTCAGAAAGCTCTCCTTGGAGGGCCTGAAGGGCTGAGCCTGAGCTGCCCCCAAACACGCTGAAGCCATCTAGGGGACCACGGCTTGGTCCCCCAACACCTGGACCAGCCCCCGGGCCCCGTGGAGGTAACAGGGGGCAGGAGCAGCGCTCAACGCCATCCCGAAGGCGACCCAGCTCCTCTTGGACACCGCCACAGGCCCCACAGCCCTCAACCCCACGGGCCTGCAGCAGATCCTCCAACTGGCCTAGCTGTGATGCTGTGAGATTCAGCCGCAGCGTAAGCTCTGCAACTGCCTCCTCCTGTGCATCCATGCGCTCCTGGAGCTGGCCCACAACCCCTTGCAATCCCTCCAGCATGACTTGCTGGGTCTCCCCTGCTGCTCCCACCTTGTGCAGGCCTGAGCCCACCAGCCGCAGCTGGCCCTCATTGTCCTGCATTCTGTGCTCCAAGGCCCTGAGGATCTCACTGACCTGAGAGTCCTGCTCCCTAGGAGCCCCAGAGCAGAGCTGCCCACAGGCCTGCACAGCCCCTGCCACCTGCTCTTCCAACAGATCCAAGCGCCCACCCAGCTCCCCACTCATGTTGGTCAGCAGCCCCTCCAGCTTCTCTAGCCGGCCCTGAGCAGCAGGCAGCCAACGGATCAGTCCCCCTGATCCCCCAGGCCAGCCTTCCTCCTGCTCCTCTGATGGACCCAGGGTGGAGTTGAAGCGGTCCTCCAGGTGAGAGAGGCGGGAAGCTAAGCTGGTGTAGCCTGGGGGGTGGCCCCCTTGTCCAGTGGCTCCTCCCAGTTCCGTCCCTCTCCTCCCGCTCAGCACTGTCACTGAGCCGGCCACTACATCTAGCCTCCGCTCCAGCTCTGCCAGTCGCCCGCCCAGCTCTGGAGGACAGCATTCCTGAGAGGGCTGGCGGCTCACACCCACCACAGGTCCCATGAGCTGCCGTTGCCTCTCCTCCACAGAGGCCAATAACTTCTCCAGTGCTCGCAGCCGCTCCCTGTCCTCTTGCTGTTGCTGGCGGAAGCTGTCCAGTCCTGCCAGGCACACAGAGCAGGATTCCTGTAGCCGCCGCTCCAGCTGCCGCAGCAGCTCCTCACTGGGACTAGGAGGGGCTGGAGCTGGAATCGGAGCCTGGCCACCTCCACCACTGCCACCACCATGATGGTTGTTGAGGTGGCCCAGCTCTTGATCATGGGTGGAGACACGGTTGTCCAGGAGCTGCAGCTGGTGCTGGATCTCATTGAGGGTTTCATGCACACCAGGACGGGCAGCTGCATCTGCTGGCTGCTGTCTCCCATTAAAGGCTGTCTCTACAGCCCGCTGTACATCTTCTGCCAGGCGCCCACTTAGTCCCTGCAGGATACCCCGAAGACCTTGCAGCTCCTTGGTCAGGCTCTGTACCTGCTGCTCCAGCTGCTGCACCTTCTCTGACTCCCCAGGACCTGAAGATAGGGGAAGGCAGAAGACAGAAGGGCTGGACCTAAAAGCTCAGGACCTCCTTCCTAGGCCTTGCTCACCCCTGCTCTAATAAGAGCCAGAGGCCCAGATGGCTCTGCCTCTCCTTTGGGTGATTTCAGCAAGAAAAGAAAGGCATGCTGGCAGTATGGCTCAAGTGATAGAGTGCCTGCCTAGCAAGTGTAAGGCACTGAGTTCAAACCCTATAACTGCAGGAAAAAAAAAAAGAAAAAGAAAGGAAACTCCATTTATTGAATGCCTCTAAGCCAAATTTGAACCATGGTTCCATTTTCTTTACAACTTTTCCCTGGGCAGATACTATTTCAACTCTTCCCATTTGATGGTCTGGGAAATAAGACCAGAGAAGACTAAGTAACTGGCCTTGAATTATAAATTTAACAAGTGGCAAAGTCAAATTTTTTGTTGTTTTTTGTTAGTTTTTTATGTGGTTGTGGGGTTTGAACTCAGGGCTTTGCACATGCTAGGCAAACACTCAACCACCTAAGTCACACTGTAGTCCTACCAAATTTCAAATCCAGATCATCTGTCTCACCATCAAGTCCAGGTCCTTTCTACTTGTTCAGTGTCTTTTGACTTTTTAAAAAATTGTTTCCTCATCTGGGAAATGAAATAACTATCTGTCCTCCCTCATAGGGCTGTCAAATGGCCCAAAATGGGAATGTGGGGGAGGCACTTTGGACACTACACTGTAGCAATGACTGGGCACTTCACTACAACACCACTGAGACAAACAAACAAGAGGCTCTGTAGCACGCCCTGCTGGGATTCTGGCTGGCTGGTCAAAGTCAGTGGTAAGTTCCTGTTTCCATAATTATAGTATAGCTATCTCTTTCGAAGGAAAACAGTGCATCCGGTGTGCGAGGTGGTGCCCACATAGGAGTGAAGACCACAACAGGGACTGCTGCATTCTGGGACCAGAAGTCTCCAGAGGCCACGGAGGGGCCTGGGACCTGTAGTCAGATGCAGTGCATGCTAGGACTTGTAGTCTCAACTGTCTTCCCCATGGACTGAGCTTCTCGAAGGAATTCCCCTTCCACCCTCAGCTGTTCTCAACAAGGAAGGACCTTGGCCACATGTGGGCGTGCGTGAGCACATTCTGCCTTCTTTTCTCTCTCTCTCTCTCTCTCTCTCTCTCTCTCTCTCTCTCACACACACACACACACACACACACACACACAAATCTCAGGGACCTCATTAATTAATTAATTCTCAGGGAATCTCAGGGACCTCATTAATTCCCTTCTGTCCCCTTCTTAGAGTACAGTGATTTTCCTCAGCAGTCTGGTCCCATGTTTTCCACCCAGTATCACTCCCCACTTCCCTCACCAGCAGCTCCCATACTCACCTTCTCCCCCTAGTCCACTGAGGTGGCTGCCCGCACTGGAGCCAGAAAGGTTGGGGCGGGCAGGCCGGGGCCGAGGATGCGGTGTGGATGGTGCAGGGCCCAGAGCTGAAGCAGGACCCTCCCCACAATCATCGCCCCCATACCCCTGACAGCACCGCCACTCCATATCTGTCACTGTCTTGTAGGCCACACGGTAGCGAGGGCGGAGGAAGCTACGGTACCTGGCAGAGGTAGAGGGGGGATTCTGTATTCTCCCTGTGCTATTAGTGACTCTGGCCCCTGTCCTCAGAGATGGGCAGCTGCTGGTGGCCAAGGCCTGTATCTCAGGTGGCCAAGGCCTGTATCTCAGGTGGCCAAGGCCTGTATCTCAGGCTGGGTTCCCCTTTCTGGCCAGCATGTGGCCTTGCTCAGTTGACAGCTGTCAGCTTTTTGGCTAAGGGCCAAATCTCTGCTCTTCCTCCCCTTGCCCTGCACTATAACCTTGAGCTCCTCCCCTTGAGGATGTCCCTGTTCAGAGAAGGCCTGGGGGCTCAAGGCAAGAAAAGTATGGAGGTGGCTGTGCCCCACTGTCTCCTCAAGACGGCTCTGACTGAAGCTCTGTTCTGTCTCTTGCTACCTGCCTTACACAAACTTCCTAGGAGGCCACCAGGCTGCCCTTGCCAGCTCCCACAGAGAGCCCTCCCCAGTGCTGAGTGCTCACATGATGCTTCGGGGACACTGGGGCTGGCCCCAGCCGCAGGGCTGATAGTCAGGCTTGACAAAGGTCTCTACTCCATCTTCAAGGACACAGCTCACTGTCCGGGTCACCACGTAGGCACACCAGTTCCTGTAGGCACAACCCTACCTGAACCAAAGGACCAGAGACACACACTCCAGATGAGGGACCCAGGGGCTACTGGAGGGGTTGAGGAAGGGTCAAAGGATGAAGGGCCCTTGGAGACCAGTAAGAGCCAGGGCTCTGGCAGCGGCAGCCCCCCCCACGCTTTCCTGTGTAGCCGGAGCAGATAAAGATTTTTCAATATGGGAAGAGGTACAGAATGGAAAACCACAACAGAGACATGTTAGTCCTTATGGCTTTAGGGTCCTGTGCCACCCCTGAATTCACGAAGTGACTTATGTCCCTTTCTGGCCCCGCCTCAATCCTCAGCTTGTTATCCTCAGAAACGTCCCTGAGGATGATCCTCTGGATACATCTCTTCCATCCACACCTCAGGGGAGAGAATGGGGCAGACCTGGATCGAGCTCAGGGTTAAGTAGAGAATAAGCCACATTGATGAGCTCTGCCTCCCTTGGGGCTTGCAGGAGTGCCCTCTTGGCCCCATTCATACTGGCCTTTGATTTGTGGCCGGCTGGAGAGCCCAAGGGAGCAGACCAGGAGTGGTGTCAGAGTTACGGATTACTGCATGGGGCTAAGGATGCCCTAGAAAAGGACAAAAGGTCTGCCTGAAGATCCAGGGCTGGCATGCTGCTGGCAGCCGGCAGGAAGCTGGCCCATGACTCCTCTCCCCAGGCTTTCGAGTCCCTGGGCACCAATCTGTAGGACCCAATGGGGAAGGAGGTGACAGATGATACCCTGTAGGCTACCCTGGAACAGGCCCCACAGGAAGGTGGACATATAAGGGGACAACTCTTTCCTGCATTACGGTGGTCAGCATACCTACCTTCCCACCCACCTCCTCCCTAGGCCAGGAGGCAGACTCTTACCTGTGACGGCTGGCAGGCCGTGGAGCGCTCTGGGCCTGGGGTCCCCCAGGGCTGAGGGCCCCATCGCCCCCTGTATAGAGGCTGTAACCTCGAGGAGAGTAGCTGGCAGCCTTTGTGGCTGCAGTCAGCAGGCAGCAGAGATAGCAGCTCCAGAGGGTGCTGGGGGCCATGGCGGGGGTGCTCCTTGTGGCCCTCAGAGGCACATCCTGGCCTGGCGGGATCACACCACTGGCGCCTCTGCTGGGCCCTGGGGTATGCCGCTGATCCAGGGGATAGCACACTGGGCCAGTCCTGTCCCCGGCTTCCTGCTGGCAGCCCCCAGCCACACGCCTCCTCCTTGGCTGCTGGGCTTGACCCCTCTCCCCCTTCTCTTTCCTCCTAAGGCTCCTGTCTGTCCCTCCCTCGGTTCCTTCCGCTCTCCTCTTCTGCACTTCTGAGGGGAGTCTGTTCTCTGCGCCCCTGGCCTCCTATGCCTGGCCCCTACCCCTCTCAGATGCTGCTTCCTGAGCCTCCACCCCCTGGCCCCAGCTGGCCCATTTCTAGTCTCCCTGTCCTTTTCCCTGATGACCAGATCCTGGGGGTGACAGGGCTTTGCCCCTGTGGCTGTTCAGAGGCGCAAGAGTGACTGTGGGGCGGGCCGGCCTCCTCCCTCTCCTCTCAGTCCCCTCCCTTCCCCCCTGTCTGGCTGGCGGTCCAGCCTCCCCCTTCCTCCCCCCACCTCTCCAACCATCGTGCGCCACATCTGCTTCTAGTTAACTCCGGGAAAGAGAGAAAAAAAAAACGAAAAATAGAGAAATGTGGAGTTGCCGCCAGGCTTGGGGCCAGCCTCTCAGACAGGCCACATGGAGTCAGGGCCAAAACTAGACAGGAGGCCCAGGGCTGGTGACTGGGACAGGGAATAGGAGCCAGAGTCCCAGTTCTCTTGGGCCAGGGCAGCTTCCAGTGGGAGAATGAAGGGGAGAAAGAGGGGAGAGCAAGAGAAGCAGGGGAGAATGAATGTGCGGGGCTTAGTAGCACCTCACTCACCATCTGGTCTGGCTGCCTCCTTTAGAGATGTGAACACTGAGGCCCAGAAAGTAACTCGTCCAAGGTAACACAGCAAGTCAATAGTAGGGCTGAGATTAGATTCTAAATACCCAGGTAAGTGACTCAGGAAAAAGGAGAAGAGAAAGGGCTCCTGGGCCAGGGAGGAAAAGGAAAGTGACTCCATTGGTGCAGGCAGGAAATCCAGGGAAGACAGAAGAGGAAGACAGGAATCAGGAAATGGGGAACATTTTTCTGTCAAGCAATGGAGAGGATATGGCAAGAAGAGAAAGAACCTCCTTCCTAAAGGGCCAAGTGATTACAAGCCTCAGGCTTGTCCTGGTAAAGGTCAAGTATAACTGGGATGGGTGGTAGTGATGGTAAATCGGGACCTATTCATCCTTGGCCTGACAAGCAAGTTCCCTCTCTTCAGCAGGCCAAGAACCCTCAGCCTGGCCTGAAAGCTGGTGGTGAGATGTCTGACCTGTAAGCCTGGCCTCCTCCACCAGCTGTGTTCTGGACCAGCCTTTACTGAGCGGGACTTTGCTGTGGGGAGAAAGAAGCTAAAGTACTAGACAGAAAAGAGACAGAATGCTGTGGGTCAGGCACACTGAGGTGCCTCTGTTGTAAAGGTGTATCTAAGACTCAGTCATTGTCAATTAAGGAACAACTCAGGTTGTTGGGGAATGGGACACAGCCCCCAGAGAGCCACCACAAGGCAGGACAGACCAACTGCCAAGAGGCCAGGACAAAGGGATGATGTGTGTTCTGGCTAAGAGAAAGGGAGAGACAGCTGGCTGCTGGGGTAGTCAGAGAAGAGCTGCTGTAAAAGAGAGAACTTGAACAGTGTTGGGCAGAGGGGGGAGGCAATGAACAGAGACAAGGAAAGGGCAGAGATTTCAGGCTCTCGGTTTCTCCTCTGTAACATAGGGATAATAATAGTACTCTCCATCCTAGGGCTGTGAGGACTGAGGAAGTTAATACATGCAAAGCATTTTAGAATAGTGGTTGAAACATTGTAAATGTTCATTATATGTTAGCTCTTGTATGTTAGGACGAAAACAGGCAGAAGTCAAGAGAGATTGTGAGCAAATTAGGGAGAGGCTCAAGTGACTGGTAAAGAGGTCCGATTTCAAGGTTTGGAGTAGAGAAGCATATACATACACAGAAAGAAGGGACCAATGACCAAAGGACAGGGTGTCAGGGTACAAGGAATCTAGTCCCAACTTCCCCCCAACTAATATTATAACTTTGACCAAATCCCGTGCCGCCACTGGCAGTCTGTTTGTTATGTAGAGCCCCTTCCAAAATCTGCATTGCAAAGTGATATAGACAGGCTGTAGTGGAGACAGTGACCATGAAAAGCAAAGATTGTAGGCCAAGTGCTGGCTCACACCTGTTACCTGCGCTACTTGTGAGGATCATGGTTCGAAGCCAGCTTAGGCAAATACTTCATAAGACCTAATCCCTAAAATAACCAAAGCACAATGGACTGGAGGTGTGGGTCAAGTGGTAAAGTGCCTGCTTTACAACTGCAAAGCCCTGCCAAAAACAAAAACAAACAAACAAACAAAAAGGAAAGATGTGACTGCTTGGCAAATGGTAGTGAGGGACCATATGAAAGGAGACACCAGAAAAGACTCCAGAGTTTGAGCTATGATAGGGAGGTTGGAAAGAAGAGCTGGGCTTTTGTTGTTTGTTTCGGTGGTACTGGTACTGGTACCTGCTTGTTAGGCAGGCATTCTACCTCTTGAGCTACATCCCCAGCCCCAAGAAGCAGGTTTAGAGGAAAGAGAAATGACCTAGTTCAGACATACTGAATTAAAATGAGAGTAACACACATTCTAGTGGAAATAAATATCCAGGAGATAGTTAGATATGTAAACCTGGTTTCTGGGAACCATCTGAAGGGGTGGGGGGTAATTGGAAGCCATGAAAATAGATACCACCACATCTTTAATGTGGCTCTAGGTAACCTGCCTCTGCTTCTGATGTCCTCTGGCCTAAAATATGACCTTGATGCCTGGAAGAAATGTTTGTACAAAGTCAGAGTGGTGAAAATAAATACTGGAATCAAAAGAAGTGAAAGTTCATGGCTGCCCTTAGAGGTCTGGGGACTAGCACACAGGGAGACTTAAAGGAAATGTTCACAGGCGATCTTAATTTCAACAATCTGTCAGTGGAAAGCTGTAGCTTTGTCCCTGGTGTCTGCGTCAGTTCCAGGCCCTGGCGATGGCACTGGCAGAAAGCCAGCCCACTTCCCCTCTGGATTGCTCTGGCTGCTGCCTGGTTTTCTCTCTGTATTCTTCTTACTCCCCTTTTTCAGGAGGCCTCTGGCAAACTTAAAAAAATCTCAGCCACTTGTCACTGCCCAGTTGCCACCCATTCCCTCTCCTGTTGTACAGTTTAAGTGTGTCAAGTAAAAAATGTTGGCTTTGAAATAACTGCAATGGGTAGGTTGTGTTTCATTTGGCCTTGTAATCAGGAGCCAAGACCTAAGAGCTACCATGAGTGTTTGTGAGATCTCAAGTACATCAGTGGCTCTGGGGTCACTGGGGAGGACAATTCACCTCGCTGCCCTGAGGGTAGGCAAACAGCTTGCAATTGAAACTTCAGGTTGGAAAGTGGTGGTGGCAATGGTGGCAGTAGCATCGTGGTGGTGGCATTGGTAGGCAGCCACAGGTTTTCAAAGCAACTGGCAAGAATTGCTGACACCAAAAAAGGATAAGTTCCTGAAGCACTAGGACTGGGTCTATTTTATAACCTCTCCAAGATGAGGGATTTCCAAGGATCTTGTGCCAGTGGGAAATCCTGGCCATACTAGGTAAGTAACTCAGTCATTCAATCATTACTGACTGAGCAATGAGCCCATGATCCCAGGGCTGGCAAACTATAGGGAATCAGCATTTAACAGCCCTTACCAGAGGACTGAATATTAGGAGAAAAGGGGAATCAAGTGAATTCGGCCTGTGTTATGTCAACCCAGATGGGAATTCAAACTTGTTGGGAGTCTTGAGCCAAAGTCCACTGCTCCCCAAACGCACACACATTTTTTCCTTCCAAACAGTCCTCCAGATATAATACTTTCGAAGTACACTTCCCTGGACCCAGGGCCCAGTTTCCCTTTTCCCAGGTCTCGTCACTTTCTAACTCTGGAGTCTAAACCTGGCCTTATGTTCTCTTCTTGAATATATCACACTAATCAGAAATTAATCTCCATAAGTGCACTGCATCTCTCTTCCCAAATCCCTTCACGATGATGTTTCACCTGTCATACTTCCCACATACTTTTCCATCCAGGGTTTTCTCAAGCTGTCCTTAGCTGAGTCTAGTTCAGCCTCAGATACCACTTTTTTTTTTTTTAATCTTAGTTCTTCCAGGCACTAGGCCAAATGACCCATTCAAGGCTGATAAAGACTTGCTAACCTAGGCACAGGAAGTTCGTGGAGGTGAAGGACATTTCTGGGTGCTTCTAAAATAAATCCTTTCCTTCTTGTCCCTGACTCTAGGACAATCTACTGGAGTCCACAGTCCTGCACAGAATGTAGAATGGAGATAAGAGGAATAGGAATTTCTTTTCCCAGTGGCAGAATCTCGGTGAAATTACTTTCTTGGCCGTGGTTTCTTTATAAAATGATCTTGAAGGTGCCCTTCAGCTGTGATAGTCTAAGATACTGTGCACCTGGGTCAGCTGGTCTTATGGACAGCCTTGGAAATCTGAAGCACTTTCCCAAAGCCTTCTCTCATGTCACCTGCAGTCTACAAAGTTTACCTTCTGTAAACTAGAGATACAGCTTGTTTTAAAACGGTAGGTCTATCTAGCTTTGATTCAATAGTAGACCTAAATATCTAGTTGTACTTGGGTCTGCTTCAATTTCCATGAGACATGAAGCATAATGATGTGTAATCCTTCTAGGACTTAGATTTGTACTTCTACCAGAGCAGAGCTGGGGACACACCAGCTCATTGAGGAATGCATGGGGAAAGCATGTTTGGGGTTTCACCAATATTATGTGGAAGGGATGTGGGCTTGGAATTCTAAACATAAAACTTCTGAGAAATGGTGGGGGGTGGGGAGAGAGGTGGAGAGAGGCCAGGGGAACTCCATATGACCCCAAGTAGGGATTGAGTTTAGGAGTTACTGGCCTGGAGTCGCTGGTATACTGCGCACATACTGCTGAAGGTCTCAGACCAGGGAAGCCCACTTTTTTGGGGGGATAGTTTAACCCCAGCTCATTGTATACACAGGAGGCAATCTGGTCCCCTCTCCCAGCTGTTCCAGCCCCATTGCAGCTCCTGTAGAGTTTTCTTTGGCTCAGAGAAGCAGAGGCCTCTCCTGAGCCCAGGCCCCCCTCTACCGCAAAGCAACTGGCTTCCATTACCCTTGACAGCTCCAGAGCAACAGCCCAGCCCCCGGCCTCCGTCTGGCTCCGTGCCGTTCCCTTTTATGGTGAAGCTGAGAGAAGGCAAGGAGTGGGGAGAAGGTTCGAGTTGGGTAGAGCTACGGGGTGCGGCTCCCCTCACCAGAGATCCTCAGACGTCTACCGGACGTCCCGCAGCCACCTCTCCTCTTTCTCCTCCCCGAACCCACGACCCCTCTTCTCGCTTATCCCAGCCCTTCTTCGCCTACTCCCTCCCTCACATCCGGGGGGTGATTTCCCACTTGGCCGAGGTCCCACGGCTTGGGTTTGATTCTGGGAGGGTCCGCCCTATTTCCGACGCCCACCTCCAGGAGTGGGGTGGAGGCAGGGAGCCAACGTAAGAAAGCCTCTGGTCAGAACACAGGCAGGACCCGTCTTCTTGATGGGATGTGGATCAGAAAGACCGATGCCGGAGAAAGCAACACCGGTTTCCCCAGCCTAGTCCCGATTCTGCACCATCTCACCCAATCCCAGCCGGCCGAGCCAGGGAGAGAACCGTAAGGGCAGGACCCAAAGGAAGCACCTGGCTGGGCCGGGCCGGGAAGCGAAGGATGGGCAGCAGGGCGGGGTGTCGGGGCAGGAAGGAGGCCGAGTCTCCCGTCCAGCCTGGCTGCCGCATTCTCGCCCTAGCTCACTCCTCGGCTCCGGGGAAGCAGCCACCACAGCTTCGCTAGCTGTGTCCCAGGTCTCGCCAGCTGCCGCCAGCTGTGCGGTTCTGACCCCAGGCTCGCTTCCCAGGCCCCGCCCCTCCCCCGGTGGGCGCAGGGCCCCGCCCCTTGTGCGCACCGCGGGAGTAGGCGAGACGGCCGGGCTAGAGAGGCCGTTCCGAGGGCGCCGGTCGTCCGGAAGTACCTTATTGGTCTCAGCGAGCGCTACGAAGTTCCGGTCCAGGTCTCCTTTCCCGAGCTGGTGCGCAGGCAGCGTCGGAGCTGAGCTGGTCAGGTGAGGAACACGCAGGCTGTCTCACGGGCTAGCTCCGCGGTGTCTGAACCGTGGGGGTGAGGACTGGTCCTGGCGAGGGCGAGGAGTGCGGCGGCCCGAGGCTTAGTCCCTCCCCTTCTCCGCAGGATGATCACGGACGTGCAGCTCGCCATCTTCGCCAACATGTTGGGCGTGTCGCTCTTCTTGCTTGTCGTTCTCTATCACTATGTGGCAGTCAACAATCCCAAGAAGCAGGAATGAAAGTGGCGCCTTCTCCGCCCCAGGTAACGGCCCGGGGCTGTAGCGTTGCTCCCGGAAAGCTGAGTGGCGAGGCCACGCCAGGGCCTGCAGGGTTCGAAACTTCCAATCAGAAAGTGTCGGGCCAAGCATGCTACGGTCCAGAACTGGGCCCCTTTGTCCTCAGAGTAGAGAGTGCCTTGTAGTGCTCTGCCCCTTTCCCTAAACTGCTCCCTGCTAGAATGGGGCGGGTTCCCTAAAACTCCGCAGTCCCTATCTTGAGGTCCCTGTAGGTAGAGCCTCAGTTTGGGGTATGGTTCCAAGGAGGCACTGACTCCAGTGGGAACAATGTACTGAGGGCCCCATCCCAGTGTGAGTTGTCCTCACTTAAATAGCCCCACAGTCCCCAGGTTTCTGAGGCTTTGCTTAGGCTTTTTTTTTTTTTTTTGTAAGCGGGTGAGAGATGTAGACCTCTGTCTCCATGTTCTGAGGCCAAGGACGTTGGTTTAGGGTTTGGCTACAGTAGACGCTATCCAGAGAGAGAAGGAGGGGGGCGGGGCGGTCTTTGGGAACGACTTTAAATGTGGGTCAAAAATATAAAGGGGAACAGTCTGGATGGGAGTCATTTCCTGAAGCATTCCCCAAAGGAAAGCTGCATTTTCCTTACCTCAGGTCTTTCCCCCTCTTTTCTAGGGTTCCAGGACATAGTCTGAGGCAAGATGGAGGGTGTGAGGGGCCTTCACACTTCACTTCATCCCTTCTACCCATCACAACATACAAAGCAACTACACCTGGATTTTTCCAAACAACTTTTATTTCCTCAAAGTCTTCCTTAACCCTATGGAACAAGAAGCTGCCACTGAATAGGGCCCAGTATAGGGGCTGCTTTCTTTTCTACTCCCTCCCCCCAATACAAAAATATAAATTTTTTTTGTGGTCCCCAAATCTTGTGCTGTGGAGGGAGGGAAAGGGCGGCAGGTCCCTGTTTTGTCCTGTCTCAAGGTGATGTTCTGCAAGGCCTCAGACAGTGTGGCTGCCATTCCAAGGAGTTATGGTTGTCCTATGGAATCAGCAGCCAAGGGAGGGAACTTGCATATTTCTGTGTTCCCACAACTTAGGGCTATATGCTGGGCATGAAAGTAAAGGAATTATTAGACCCGGGGAGAAATAGTGAGTGGGGGAGATTTAGGGGCAAAACAAACCTCAGGTTGGCTCAAAGGCCCCCCGCTGTAACAAATCCGGGATGGGGAGTCAGATAGAGTACAGGAGATAGGAGAAAAGGCAGGGGCAGAGCGGGGCCGTGGGGGGCCAGCCTGAGGCAGCCTGCAACAGAGAAGAGAGAGGAATCAGGGTTGTGCAACCAGCCCCTTTTCTGATGTTAGCCAGGGGCTAACAGGTGAAAGGGGAGAGAGTTGAAGATGGGGAGAGATAGGCAGAAGTCTGATGCTAGAACCAGCTAGCTAGCTCCTAGGCCTTAGGCCCTAACTAGTAGTACTTTTCTTGTCTTTTGGAGTGAAGACTCAGGCCATGGTATAATAAAAATCAGGGACTATATTCTTAATGAAGTACATTTAGTCTTTGTGGTCAAAAGGAATATAGGGAAGGGAGAAAAATTATTCTGAGTGGCAGAAACTGGGATGAGAGGATAGAAGAAACAAGGGGTGGGGTGAGGGACTGGACTCCGGTGCTCACCCTGGTGTAGCAGAGTGGGGTCCCAGCTCCGACTCATTGCTCTCTCTGGTCCGGGGAATAAGGGATGTGGGGCTTGAAGAGCCTCTCATCCCTCTGCCAGTCGGCGGTGAGCCCTGGCCCAACCTGGGCCTAGCCTGTGTGGACAGGGGGAGGCTAAGAGGCTGGGTTGTTCATGAGCTTTTCTGTTTCTAGAGTTTCCATGCATAACAGTCTAGTATAGAAGTCAACAGAAGTACTAGGACCTTGAATTCCTGGGCACTGTTCCTAGCTGGGAGGAGAGGCAGGATTTCAGCCAAAGAACTCCAAAATTCACTCCATGACTATTCATTCCAAGTCTTATGTAGCTAGGGGTGGCAAAATGATCCAGCATTTAGCCTGCATGGGTATACCATGGCCAAAATCTGGCTGAATAGAGAAGCACTTTGTAGAAAGATGATGGGGGACTGGTAGACCTCCCTCAGAGTCTTCTAGGACTCAGCACCTACCAGAGCAGCTTAAGCTTCCAGAGAGCTTCTGCTTATATCTGCCTTTAGCTAAACTAGCATTGGGATCTAGAGGTGGTGGCAGGGCTGTTCTAGGAGCAGTGACCAGATATGTTACCTGGGGAATCCGGGACCCCTCCTGGCGGAAACTCTCCTCGGGCAGGTCTGGGCAGAAAGAGAGGAGAAGCTAAGGGCAGGGGCAGAGAAAGCCACAGCTGTAGGCTGAGATTAGGGTGTACTTAGCAGAAACAGTGGGATTGGAAGCAAGCAAGATACCTGGCTGATGGGAATTGTGGTGGGGCAGGTAAGTACCCAGGAACCAGAGCAGCTTTCTGATACGGTTGGAGGTAGAAGCTGTAAAGCAGGGCTGAGCATTTACCCTCCCATTGCCAAGGTGAACAATTCTGGGTTCTGCCAGAATTGTTATGCTAGGGACTGGCGTAGACTCCAAAAATGATACCTGCAACCGAGTCCTGATGCAGGGGATCCGAGCGCTAGTTCCTAGCAGGCCTTTCCCAATCACCATGACAGTCTCCGGCTTGTCCCCAGAAGACAAAAGTGAGCAACCGCTTCCTAGAGAACAGAGGAAACTGATCATGAAGGTATGGGTGACAGAGAAACTTAGATCAGAGTTTCTTGACCTTGGCACTATTTTTATTTTATTAAAAAAAATTATTTTGGCATTGCTGGGAATTGAACTCAGGGCTTCATGCATGCTAAGCCAGTGCTGAATTTGGCACTACTGATATTTTGGGCTGGATAATCCTTTGTTACAGGAGTAGTCTTGCACATGGTAGATGTTTAGTAGCTTCCTTAGCCTCTAACTACTATATGCTGTTTCCTTCCCATTGTAATAACCAAAAACATCTCCATGTGTTGCCATGTTTACCTGGGGGCAAAATCTGCTCTTAGTGAGGCTACACGTCTAATGGGTGGAGCGGCAATCTTTGGCTAGAATGGGAACCCACTCAAGCTTAACTAAATCTGTAAATTAGTACTCATCCTATGTTTAGACACTTAAGAATCAAGTCTACTCTGGTCTGAGAACTGACCATTGGGAGTTGACAGGTTGAGAGCAGTGGGCTCTGAGTAATGTAGGAGGATGTCGGGCTGGAGTCTTAGAAATCAGTCCGATCTAGTCTTTTACACAGTTGGGTCTAACTTAAAAGGAGCGTAGACAGCTTAAGTTTTATGTGAATGATAGGATGACATGTGCGGTGATGACAGTTGAAAGGCCTATGCTTTTTTTCTCATTCTCCAGTTTTGTCTACTGTTGCTCAGCTCCTGGAGTCAGGTAACTTGGTAAGTAGTACTTTGCAGGTGGAAAGAGTAAGTCCTCAGGTTCCTCTACTGTAAAAGCGAGGATTAAATTAGATAAGGTGCATGGAACAATGCCTGGCACACAGTAAAAGTGTAATAAAATGTCATTTTATTTTACAAGTTTATTTCATTAATTCCAGCCTCCTGAACAAAGTCACAGGTGTTAGGTATTTAGGGTGCCAGGAGGATAACTGATGCTTCTGGTCTGAGTGGCCTGCATTACATCAGGTCAAGAAGGAAGTCCAGATTAGGTGGCAGTGTGGCTGAAAGGATTTCTTCAAGCCTAGCTGGGAGCCTGGTCTAAGCCCTGGGTGGTAGGGAAGGGAGGAAGTTGGCCAACTGGATTTCAGGGATAGAGGATACAGACCTGATATGCTGAGTGAGTTGGGCAATAAGCAGGAGCTCAGGTTGCGTGAGGAGGCTGTGCCAGAACTAGCAGGAGTTGGAGGGGAGATCAGGCTGCTTGCAGGAGGGCGATGGTTCAGTGGCTGCTGCTGCTGCCGCCGCCTCCTGTCCTGGCTCCGGGGCTCTGAGTGGAAGAGACACAAGTAAAAGTTCAAATAAGTAAGGTACTATGAGAAAGCTTTCACTGGCCTGCTGGCTCCCTTTGGTCAGAAGATGCACGTTTTCAAGGTTATCACTAGACTAGCACCTCATTTTTTTATATTTTGTTTTTTTCCCTTGAGACTGGGTCCCATTACATAGCCCAGGCTGGCTTCAAACTAAATCCTTCTGCTTTCACCTCTGGAGTTGTGGGATTACAGGCCTGTACCACCACACCAGACTCTTTTGAAGCAACTATAAGATGGATGGAAAGACTTCTAATGCTTCAGTTACCCATTTCTCAATCAGTTCTTATCTTACCAGTTAACTCTTTTCCAGAATGTCATGAACTTGGCTTCTGAAACACAGCTTTCCTAAATTTTCTTCTTACCTCTAATTGCTCTTCCAACTGCAGTTCTTACCCCTTGTGAGCCAGTGTTCCCCAATCATTCTGGACTTGGTCCTATCTTCAACTCCCAAATCACTCTCTATTCCTTTTCTCCTGAAGTCTAGTTCTAACTGTCCTATTAGACATTTCTATCTGGAAGGTCCCCATTACTAAACAAAAAGTCATTCTCTCCCCACCTTCCTCTTCCACTCCTTCTTCCTATTAGAAACCTTGTATCATTTTTCTGCTTCCTTGCATATATTAGTGTTTAGCCAAGTCCTGATAGTTCTACCTTTTGCATTTACCTGAAATCCTTTCTTCTTCCTTGCCATCACCAGTGTCCAAATACAGGTCTTTAACTTTCATTCAGACATTTGAAAAACTGCCCCTACTGGTCTGCCTTGACTTGACTCTCTTGCTTTTTACCATCCGTTCTTTACATAGGTGCCACAAATTACTATTCTAAAATAGGACCCAGTTGAAATTCGCTGTGGGTTAGGCAAAAGAGATAATGAGATATCTTTTAAATGATAAAGTCTAAATGTTTCAACATGGCACATTCATAGCCTTGCCTGTTGTGTTTTAGTCCACATATCCTTAGTAGGATGTTAACTTGATTCCTCATAAACCTCTGCTTTAGCCCCTATGGCTACTAGCTGTATAGTTCTTCTGGAATTTGTTTCTCTTTCTAGTGAAACCTTGAACGTCTTCTGCATCCTATTTCAGCCTCTGTTAAGCAACTTGACAATTATAGGCAGAATTAAATTAATTGCCCTCTCATTACCTTTATTGTCCTTTGTTCAAATGGCTTGTCATTGTTTATGGATCAGTCATCTCTTGGAATTTAATAGCATACAGTTATATTCTTCAGGCAGCCATCTTTGGTCCATCCCTGTGGCTGGAGCCTTACAACTACAAATTCTGAAGGATGGGGTCCCAGTGGGACAGATGGTGAATGGATGGGTTAAGAAGGCTTGCTGGTTCAGCAGGTTCTTCCTTGTCACAGAGGGAGAGCAGGTGCCAGATACTCTCAAACTGTCACAGAACCAAATTCAGCAGAAGGACCAGCCTGCCAGTTGACCCCCTAATACAAAGCAACACATGTTGGATGTGAAAAGCCTCAAACTTAGGAAGCAGTGATAATAACTTCATCTTTTGCAGATACAGTGGACAGTAGCAGGTAGTTATCTAGACTATTTCTGAGTTCAAACTCCAGTACCACCAAAAAAAAATATATATATAGATATACATATATATCTATATATATATTTCTGAAAGCCAAGAACACCTCTAATCTCTGCACTTGGGAGGCCGAGGCAGGAGGAAGTTTGAGGTCAGCCTGAGCTACACACCAAGACTGTGTCTTAAAAAAGAACAAAAAATATTTCTGAAAGGTCTCCAAATTAAATATATATATATGTATATGCGTGTGTGTGTGTGTGTGTGTGTGTATACACACACACACACACACACACATATATGTTAGAAAGACCTCAGGATTGAAGCCATTCTAGCTATATGGAATTGCACTGGGGTGTTGCCACCAATAAGTTTATAGACTCTAAAACAATCAGACTTTAGGGGAACAATGAGAGTTGGCACCAAGATGCCAACAGCCAACAGAAATCAGATAGACTTGTGACCGTAGTCAAATAATCTGAAACATCAGCCACCATCAATGACGTAGTAACTAAAATGGACATCAGGACAATACAGTAGGCAGAAACAGTAAGCTTGACAGGAGAAATATGAGTTCATAAATGATATACACAACCATGCTGAAACCATGTTAAGGGTGAACCCTCACCACACCCCAAGAAAGGGGAAGAGAAAAAGAACAAGTAAATAAAAGCCTTTGGAACACTTGTAGGTTCTAATAATGATGTGTCACTCCAGAAGATAGGAAGCAAAACAGGCAAAAGATGTTGAACAAAGGTCAATGCAAAATGGAGAAGGTATGGGAAAGATACTATAACCTAGGAGTCCTTCCCCCAATTAGTGTTTTAGGATAGAGGACAAGTTCTGATTTAGGAGAGAAGCTTAGTTTAGAAAGAATAAGGCATTCTAAGATCACATTTCAATCAATTATCACTAAAAGACCACCTTACAACCTGCTTATAATTTGGCAGTGAGAGCATATAATTACTTTCATGTTTTGATTTCTGGCCCTGGTGTAATCCAGGCCAATTTAGTCCTTGTTGAGGTAAGAAGTAAAAGGGTCAGCCCCAGTTCTGTATTTCTCAGTTTTGAGCTGTAGAAACAGCAGCATAAGTCTGAATTCAAGAGTGACAGAAACTCTGCTCCCAGAGGTTATGAGATGATATTCTATGGTATTCAGCTATAGGTGCTACTAGGAGAGTGGCAGGATGATCCCGGGGCCATGGTCTAAAGAGGTTAAGCAAGAATGATCTCAACTTGCACTAGTTAGGATTAATGTTCTAAGGCCTCACGGTTTAAATGAGCTTAATTTTTACCTTGTACTTACATTTGACATCATCCTCCCAGATATCTTTGGAACTGTCCCTACACATGTGGTCACAGATATGTATGGTCTGCTGGCCTGGTTTATGCCCTGTGAGAGGAAGAAAGCATTTGGCTCCCAACTAAAGTTTTCATTCATTCAACAAGTATTTTCTGACCACTTAGTAAGTACCAGGTGCTAAGCAGATGAGACATTTCCTGATACAAGTTTGCAGTGGAAAAAGTAAAAGATACTTCTGCTAAGTCCTGCTGACTACTCCAGAGGAATCTCTACTTATTGCTGGATGTTAGCTGCTCTACCAAAATTTGCCTGTCAGCTGAGCTAAGGCACTGCAGAGACCAGGAGAGAGCTCTAGTAACCTCAGGTTCAAGTGACAGAACTGGGAGAGATGAAAGGTGGTGGTAATCGGGTGACAGCTGAAGCCTCCTTCTTTATTTTTTGGCACTATTGGGGTTTGAACTCAAGGCTTTACCCTTATAGGGAAGCAGTCTAACATTTGAGCCATGCCTTTAGCTCTAGGCTTCTGCTTTTAAATCTAAGTACCTTCTTTCATGTCACTATTCAGCTGGATAAGCTGGGGGACCAGGAATAAGTTCCAGTTACTAAGAGACTATTGCTAAAACCTAGAGCCAGGATTACAATGAAGCAGGTGAGGCACCTCAGATATAAAACTGAAGGAGGCACCTGCACAATCCTGACTGCAAGTGCCTTAAACTGTCCTAGGTGCCTCACTTGTCTCCCCATAGTCTTTGCCCTGCTTTAATCCATACATAATGGATAGAAGAAACTGCTTTACTTTTCCTCCCTCACCCTGGCAGGTCCTTCTTTAGTTTTGTTTGCATCTGCTTTTGTATAGTATCCTGTAGGCCTTTGATTTCTCTCATTCCATCATTGTACTAACTATTCTCCAATGACCACTTCTTCCCCAACAGCCACAGAATCTACAGATAGCACTGTCTCTGTGCCAGAGACTGTGGACAGGAACTGCACTATGTCTGGGAGGGTGATGCTTTGAGCATGTTTTGCAGCTGGTGAGAACTGGATAGAGGATGTCAGGGGTACTGGGAATCAAGGTTTATTCAGAACTTTATAGCCTCCTGTCCAATTAGCATTCCTATTTGTCTCAAGTTGCCTTTCTGCAGTGTAATCTAGCCTTTGGACAGAGCCTAGCAGACTAGTTCCCTGAACCTGTGTCTTAAGCTGAGCTGCCTCAATCTTTTCTGAAATTTCCTGGATTTCCAAATCTCATTTTTGTTCTAGCCAGTAAAGAATAGTCAATAAAATGTAATAGTTAAATGTGATATAATTTTATACATTCGTGGAAAATTTCTTACAATTCACAAGTCAAAAAAAATTTTGTGAAATCACAATCCCAGTTTGAGGGTTGGAAAGTATGGCTAGTTTGCAGTTAAGATTTCTAAGAGATGGGGATCATGTTCTTTCTGGCTTGGAAAACAAATGTAGCTAGATGTGGCAGAGGCCAAAAATCCAGAGGTACAGAACCAGGAAATAAATACCACAAGCAACAGAATAGAACAGGTTACAATAGACAAATAAGTTTTCACAGGGTTGGTTGACGATGCCAAGTCCAAATACTAGCCTGTATCATGGTTCCTATCCCAAACCAGGGTCAGTCTTCCATTCTGGAGTCTTAAAAGCTGAAGCAGCACAAACTAGCACCAGCAGATTCCCAGTGGAACACAGGAGTCAAAATTCCCGGAATCTCACTTTTCAACTTCTTATAGTATCCATGTTCAGTATTAATGCTCGTCTTGATCCCTTGACCTTACAGAGTTTCTTAGTTCTCACATATACTATGCAAGTCCCTGTGACGTCACTGTTCTTCAGCCAGCCCTTTTTCTGCTTTTGAGTTCATTCACCTGAGTGAAATATCCCTTCTCACTTGGTTTCACCTGACACCTGTGTGCGATGACTCCTAGACCTCTAAGCCATCCACTTAACTTTTCCTATAGTTCTGCCTGGATGGCATCTTTATATAGATAGCTTGAGGCACCTAACCATGTCAAAATAGTTAATTTTACACTTTCTTTCAACTGTGTCTTAATGTAGAGGGTTGGTGGAGTGGCTCAAGTGGCAAAGCACCTGCCTAACAATGTCTTAATGTCACCATGATTTTTTCCTTTAGCTTTTGCCTTGAAGTCCTTTTAGTTCCTCTCTCTTCTGCCATCATTGAATCTCACCACTTCAGTTTTTAACACTTGGGTTTATCTTTCCTTTGCAGACCCTGATACAGGGTCTAGTCAGCTTATGTGTAAATTACTGCAAGGCTCCCATCTCTTTCCTGTCCAGTACAGTACACAGTCTTATTTTTGTTCCCATTATTCTCAGAAGCACCCACTTGTTACCCTATGTCTCAGTTAACTCATAATCCTTGTTTTCAGGACACTTCAACTTCTTATCTATCTCTCTTCATCCAATTTCCCAGATGAAGGGTATGGCCTTTTGTATACCAGCTAGGTCTACATGATTTTGTCTTCTACCCAGGAGCCCTCTGTCCCTAATCCTGAATGCTATTTCTCATTAAAAATATATAAAATAATATAAAAAAATATACTACTCATTCTTCAAAACTGTTTCTTAAACTGCACATTCTTTGGTTAACTACTCTCATGTTGATCTAACACAGTAGCTCCCCAAGTGCCTTGGATATTTATATAATGTACATGTACTTTTATGTCGTATTTAGTGGCCTGTTTCCTTTGTTAAGTTTCAGATCAGTCAGCCAGGAATTACTTGCTGACACTGCATATTTTCCATTAGTTATCTGGAGCAGTAATGGAGAAATAGAGTACATGTCCCTCACCTCAGGGAGCTCAAAACAAAATTCTTCAGAGGGGGACCTACAGGATGTCAATAAAATACTGATTGGAAACTGCCTAGAATCCTCCAGTGATGACCTAGAAAAGGCTTTTTACTATTTCCCTTTGTGGTCAGAATGAGAATTTATGATGCTGATGAAGGAATTCCCAGAATTGAGTTACTAGCTATAAGAGACTGACCAAAATACAAAGGAAAAGAAACAAGAAGAAAAATGTACAGACAGATTTAGCATGGGAAACTAGGTATACTGGAACATTTAAAGGTAGACTAACTGCTACTTAATGTCTGTGCAATCTTGGACAAGCCACTCTTTACTGTTTCTTTCTTTTTTTTTTTTTTTTGAGACATGGTCTTGCTATGTAGTTCAGGCTGGCCTTGAACTTGTGATCTTCCTGCCTCAGCCTCCCAAATGCTGGGATTATACACAAATACATCATGCCCAGCTGGACAAGCCACTCTTAAACAGCTAAGTTTTCTCATCAGGTAAATGGGAGCATCATCCATCCTACAGATCCTGGTGAGGATTAAATTAAATGAAATTATTATATATGTGATACTGTCTTGTTCACTATTAAATATGGCATTACTGTTACTACTTTAATTACTGTTCTTCAAACACAGTGCACAAAGGTATCTTTTCCCAATGAAAACAGCATGTTAAAGAATGGGATTTGGATTATAAACAAAGTGGACCAAACTGAGTATCAGGGATAGAACATCTTAATTGGTTAAAGCTGGTAAGAACCATTGCCCTCTCTGTGGCTTCTGTAATTAATACAGTCAGATTTATAGCCCCTGACCCAATGTATGTCAGGTCTGTTCCAAAAGTTGGGTTGAGTTCAACCCTGGTACTACAAAAAAAAAAAAAAAATCCAAAAGGTAGGTTGCAAGCTGAGTAGCAGGGAAATGTTCACAACAATGGGTGCAGCTGGATGACCAGCAAAGCTCTTGGCTCCAGCTTACAAGCCTCCACACTCTGGCAAGATTTCTTGCAGCCTAGGAGGCATGAACACTGATTTGTGGTGTAGTGTACTTCCAGAAGGTGCACTACAACAGTCTCCCCTCCACAGTCTGACAACATATTTCTAGTAACCTCTTCTTTTCCCTAAAGGCCCATCTGTCTATGTCTGGCTTTGACTCAGAATTTCATTAGGCAAAACTGATGCACAGTTGAGCAACTCTGCCCATTTCTGGAAAGGGATGGAGTGTTGGTTTGTGAGCCTAGAATAGAAGCTGCTGCAGTTGTTCCATTTTTCTTTGGAAGAATTGGAATCCTGATACCACTTTCTGCTACCAGGAACAATTTCAACTCATGGAGACTAGATAGGATTCCTCATCATCCTGCAATTTGGATTCCAAGTACATTTCCTTATACTGCCCCCAAGAAGACACAATGGCATTGTAGTTGAGGTTGAGGCTCCATGTCTGAGTTTAGCACTGCTTTAGCTAGTATTTTGTCCTTGGAAACTTCCCCCACTCCTAGCATGAGCTGAAGCCCAGATCCCCAGGACTTTCACCTATGGCCACACACACTGTTACTCTAGAGTCATGCCGCAGGGAACACCAAGGTCACGGGGGAGGCTACAGATTCTGCTACAGACTAATTTTATTGATTCACTCCTTAGTTCTCGGCCAAGTGTATGTTTTCAAGCTCTTACTTTCCCCAGCAATGTCCCAAACAACCGAACACCTGCTGCAGGGGCTCCCAGACTGGCTTACCTCTGACAGGGCCCAGCACCCGGTGGCTGAGCTTTTGGGTGCTAGAGCCCAGACCTGGCAGCCCTGCAGGCCGACTGCCATGGAAAGGAAAGCTGGGAGAGTTCTTCATCTGTGGAGAATTTTGTTGGCTGCTGTTGCTACCGCCAGCACTTGTACCAGTGCTAAAACTTCGAGCCCGGCTCAAGGCATTTTCAGAGCAGGAAACAGGTAGTCCACTACAAAGAAGTAGATTCCAGTTAGCCTTGGGCCAAGGGAGTAGTGTCCCAAGGCTTTCCCCAGGTTCTGATGCTTGCTCAGCAAAGCTTCACCTTTAGGGTAAAAATGCGTAAGAACCCATTTCCAAGAAGGAATGAACTCATGTCCATGGATGCGGTATCTGACCCAGGGCATACTAGCTCATCTCAGAAGGGCTGTACCAAAGAATTTTCCCTTTATTTCCTTGGTGCTAGCCCTTGAACTCCCTTAAATCAGTCAATCACAACCTTTGGAAACTGAGACCTGCCCTACCCTTACCACAAAAATAATCAATTTTGTACACAGCTCTGGAGCAAGGAGTCCCCTGGCCTGATTTTCAGGTCCCTTAGAAATATGTAGCTCCAAGCAAAAGGGAGAGGATTCCATTCTCAAAAAATGAACTGATCTTACTAATGTTACTTTACCCAGAGAATATTCACCAGGTGGCAGTTTTAGGCGAAGCGAAGGAACACTCCCTCAGAATTCCTACCTCTAGAGCTTGCCCACTTTCCTGCCCTCTCCTTTCTATACTGCTGGTCTTACTTGTTACTCTTGGGAGGAGTTCGAGAACCTCTCTTCTTGTTGACACCCACATTGACAGTGCTGCTCAGGCTTCGGCTATTGCGCACATGCTTTAGCATCCAGGCCCGCAGGTTAGTGAGGCTGCTGTGCTCTGACAGCACAATTCGGGGCCACGGATTACATTCTGCCATGTCCAGAGCTGCGATGGCCATAGCTCGTCCCACCTGTGGGGAGTCCAGTTTGATTCAGCATCTTGGTCCTCTCATCAAAGCTGCTATATTGGGGTGTGGTACGCAGCCCAGTAGAAGGGAAGAAGGTGCCAGACCCAAAATTTGTTCAGTGGGTACCCTAACTTCTGTGCCCAGGCTGTTTATATCAAGTAGACTTATAGCTGTTCCCTACCTCACTGTCCATTTTGGGGCCTTCATCCATTATGAGGAGCAGGTATGCTTTCTAGCTGGCACCAAGAAGTTCTCCCAACAAAAGTTTAGATCTCTAACCTGCAGCTCTTTCTACCCCTCTGAAGTGTCCTGTGATACATGGAATCATCAAGACCATAGTAGGGAGGGTGCTTTTAAAGCCCAGGAGTAAATAAACCCAATGGAATGAGGAAGACCAGCTCAGACCAGCTGACTCTCTGACTCAGAGATGCTAGGGGATTCTCTGTGGTGTGGGTCAGAAATTATGCCTGTTGATTCTCAGTACCATTTTAACCAGAGCCATGCTCCTGTTAACCCAGGGAAATAAGCCCATCTCTGCAAAGGACCTTAGAGTTTGGCAGCCAGAGTGAAGGTCTTTCCAGACCTTGAGGTTCCCCCTTTCCCACTTTATCCCACAGCTTCATACCTGCTCAAATAGTTCCACAGTGTATCTGGAGGGGAAAGCCGGTGGGGGAGGGGGGCTGGCACGCCCATTGTCATGGCAGGCAGCAGGGATGCTGTTTACTGAGCGTCCAGTGTTGTAGTTGCATTCAAGTGTGTAGCTATGATACAGAGATCTTTATCAGTGTCCTGCCTGAACAGGTATCAGGACAGAACCATGGGGGACAGCTTGAATAGTCTAAAAAAGTAGTCACTTGGAAAAAAGTGAAGACAAAGAATATGGTAATAATCTCCAGCAACTAGCAACTGACCTTGGCACTACACTGTGTACCCAGGAAGTCCCAGAAAAGTAAAATCCCAGATTAAAGATAATCCTGCTAATTGTAAGGCTGTCTTTTCAGAAGATATGGGTGGTCCCAGCCCTTCAAACACCTTGGATTGGGTATTGTTTTCTTTAGGGAAGCTATTTCCTCAAGTCTATCCCAGTTTCCACCCAACCTGTGGATTATCCCTGAGGCTTTGTAGATTGCAACACGGCCGCTTCCCTCTTTGGACTGGCCATCTCTACGGTCTCGGGCATACATGTTCTTCTCTGAAAAATTGCAGCCCTGGAAGTCAAAGTGGGCTGAATTCAAGGAGATGAGCTTTGGATATAGCATGTTTTCCACCTGTTTGGGGGAGGAAAAAGCAACTCAGAAGGAGAGACAGACGAGAGATAGCAGCCATGTGACTTAAGACACAGCACATATCATCACAACTATCAGCAGTAATTGACATTTTTTGAATTCTCACAATTTGCCATTATTTCTAGGCATTAGGAAAATGTAATTCTACCTTCTTTTAAGCTCTGAACTTCTTCTATCACAGAAGTTATGATGTAATGGTTGAGTTGAGATAGAAGGACCCAATATCATCTCTTGGCCCTTTGAAGTTGATGCAGAGGTAGTCTGCACAGGCCTTCCTGTCAAAGGCTACCTTCCCTCCCGTTCATGGCTTAACCCTTATCTCTTAATGTGAAATACTTCCCACAATCACGACATCCTTAGGACTCCTACCTGGGTGCTCTCATCACTAAAGCTGTTTCCATACATGAAGCAACCCCGTTTGGAAGCATGTCCATGCAGGTCCACATAGTAAGCAACACCACTCTCTTTGGGGGGGATGGTATCAGGGGCTGGTTCCTCAAGCTCAGCAGACTGTTGTGGCATAATCCACACACTGTTGGCCCTCTGTTCTGCTGGCTCTGTCTCAATCCAGGTCTCAGGGTTTTCCCCATCAGATGACTGCCCAAAATGAGCTTCATTGTGGAGATTATTGGCTTTCTCGAGGTCAGAAAGGGGATTATCAGGAAGGAGACGTGGACTGGGCTCACGCTCAGAGGGACTCTGGTAGTTCAGACGAGAGTGCACATGGTGGTAGAGGAGCACAGCTTTAGCCCCATAGATGGCTGGGTGCAGGATGGCATCAGGCTTCAGGTATTGACGGTTCAGATTCACTCCACGTGAGTCTGTGCTGTAAGAATATAAGGACTGAAGCAGAGTCTAGAAGCCTGGGACAGTGAAGAAGACACAAAGTAGATGACAAGTAGACTGGGAGACTGATTTACCAACTGAGGTTGTGTTGGAAAAGAAAGAACTGAGGACAAGGGCCCCTCTGTATGACCTGCTGTCACTCCTACCATAGAAACTAAGCATAGCTTTCTCTACCCAGATAGGCTCGTATCTATCTTAGTTTTGCTCCTTCCCAGGAGTGCTATTAGATGCAATCACATCCCCTCACAAGTCAATGGAAGATTAGATGGGCTTGCCCTTGTTAGGTGCAAGAGGACCAGGAATATAGGAGAAGCTAGAAGGATGACAGTCTCACTAAGAAGTAGGACATGAGGGGGACTGGGAACAATCCAGAAGGACTGGGAGGCTATTTACCGGTAGTGGCCCCGGACTACACCATCGGGATTCAACATAGGAATTAGCTTAAAGACAAAGAGACGACGTAGGGTTTGAGCTCGGGGGTCATCAGGTCGGAGGATGAAGTCCAAAAAGCCATTGAAGACAAAGCTAGATGGTGTCTCCCCAGGGTGTACTCTACTGCTTAAGAAGAATATCTGAGGTAGAGAGGAGAGCATACATTAGGTCAGTTATGCTATAGTTCCATTCTGATATACATGGGTATAGGGGTGGGTGAAGCTGAGTTTACAAAGGAAGCAGGAGCTCACCCTTGCTCCAGACTGCAGGCTGAGCTGGCTCCAAGATGCCTAGTGATTGACAGCCTTAAGCTGTCCACTGTAGCTAGAGCTATAGAAAGGCCAACATACTGCTTTTATGCTAACCCTACTCACCCTCTTGCCTGTGAAACGGAATGGTCGGGGGGTGCTGTTATCAGGAAATAGCTGCTCTAGACGGGGCTCCCGATCATCTCGAAGCCCATGGCAGGAAGTGACTGTTAGCAGATCTACACGAAGTCCATCCAGAGAATAGCAAAGGAGCTCCCGGTGGTAATAGATAGTATCCAGGGGGCTGCAAAGATAAAAATTAAACCAGTAGAAGTCCCTAAGAGTTATACCTTGTCGCCAGCCCAGATTTTGTAATATCTGGTCTCTCACCCTAATCTTTGGGGCCTCACAGTTCCTTACACTGTTAAATAAGGCTAAGGATATGGGTCAGCTTGCATTGCCAAAATGCAGAGTATGGCACAAGTTAGATTTATTTATTTTTTTCCAGTCAGTGGTTCTCTAGGATAGATTACTTTGTGTAGAGAGGTGCCCTCTGTGGGGACGGATGAAAAAGATGTGCTGAGCAGCCACAATGCTGGCTAAATTCTGGATAACTGATGTTGGCTGGCATAGTAAAAGGCTTGAACTAGGCAGGTGGAAGAGGAGAGTATAGGTGGTGGTATGCTGAGATCATAGTCATAAATAACCACATTTTTCAAAGCCCCACATTCTATACAGAAAAAGACCCATGGAGTCAGAGCTCTTGAGGACAAATTCTAGAAGTAACAGAGGTGCTGTGTGATCCAAGATGGTATGGCAGGAACAAGAGTGGAGTTGGCACCTGCTATGGGTAGAGTGATTCTCCGGAAAGCGCTGGTCTAGCTGGTTTAGCAAATCCTGGCAGTCACTGTAGGAGAAGGGGTAGCAGAAGGCGAAGAAGGTGGTGGCCCCACGGCCTTCCACGAAACGGTGAACAAAGGATAACACAAACTGGGTCTCTGTCATCTGAGGAGCAGAGGAGGAAGAGGGAGAGGCAACATGCCGTCTGTGTCACAACTGAGCTATTGGGGTCACCAAGACTGACCTCATGCCCTTATCACCTTTACCAACTTCCCTCCCTCTGATATTTTCTAAGTGACAACCAATTCCTTTAGGCTTGCTGAAGCAGGGGTTCATCTTGAATTCCAGTTAGTGGTAGAAGAAAGCTGATACCAAAACCTGGGATCCCGCCTACCTACTTCTTCTTTTGAGGGCAAATTACATGTTTACTTTTCTCTACTAGCACACAGTCTTTCCTCCTCATGGAGAACTTACCTCAAATGTGGGACGGTCTCGAATGCGCTCCCAGCGTGGCCGGGAGGGCAGTGTACGCACAAAAGGGGCCATGCCCTGGGAATACAGCTTGCTTTGCTTGTTCATGTTCATAATGTTGATCTTGATGAGTTTCCCTGGAGTTCCTCCCCGGACACTGAAGTAGAACCACGACCTGAGGGCCAGGGGAGAGACAGGTCATTATATGTGTGAGGATTAGAGAGAGAATGTGTGGGAGAACTGAAGCAAGCAAACTGGAAAAGGACCACATACCTGTTTCCATTCTCAAATTCTGTTTCAGCACAGTCTGGCCGGGTCCACACGTTGAACTCGTAGTCAGGGGAAGAAGCAATGCCACCAGTGGGAGCTGGTGCCCCCCTCCTGCTCCTTCCCCATCACTAGACACAGACTCCACTTTCTCCACATGGGCTAGATTCCCTGAATCAAAGCGAGAACTGAACAGCAATCCCCCACAGCGTAGCTCCATGGTGAGGCTGGGAAAGCATCCTCTTGCCCCACTCTGGCCCTGAGAGCTGGGAAAAAAATGAAGTTGGGTAGGGAGGAGGGGGAAGAAAAATGAAACACGATTTTTGGGTATCACTGGATAAATGAAGCCATTCTTAGGAAATGCCCTATGAAGCAAAAGTCTTGCTCCTTAGAAAACATGGAAATTGCCTTCCACCAAGGCCCAGAGCAAGCAGCACTCTGTCCCTCACACTAAGGAGTATGACTGACCTAAGGAACTCCGTTTTACTATAGCACAGCTGTTCCCAAATCAGTTTAACCATGTTGAGAAACACTAGACTTTGAGCTTCTTTGCAAACCAAAATAGAGACCACACAAAGGTGGGACTTCCCAAACCTACACAATATATGCCCACCACAACTTGTGACCATCTTGAGAGATGAGCTGTTTCTGGATCTCTAATTCCAAATTGGCTCTGTGCCTCCAGTGCAAATCACAGAGAACCAGGTTTCTAAGTTTAAATGGGGAGTTTCCTTTCTTCCCTTGTGTGTCCTCACAGGTACTGTCCAGAATTCTGCTGTGCTTCCAATAGCCCTGGAAGGGCTGGTTCTTCCTTTTGTTTTTCTTTTTCTCTAATCCTATTTCTATTATGGAAAAAAACTACAGAAGTGTGGCTTATACTCAAAGGCAACTGGCTAGACGCCACTTGCTCACCTAGACTGTAGTTCAGTTCCAGTTAGGGCATGGGTCTGTCTCCATCCTCCCCACCTCCTCGGAGACATGGGAGCCTCTCCTACCCTGGTGGTTTGTATATCCTAAGCACCCCTTAAAAACCTGGGCCTGTAGAGTCCCACTTGGGTGCAGGAGGTAGCTTCTTGATGCTGGAGGACCCTCACACTGACGGGCTTGCCCAGGGCTGGACGGGACTTGCAGGCACGGGAGGGGTGGGGACAGGCACACTGGAGGGTGAGAAGGCCGGGCCTAGGGGTCAGAGGTGAGGCCACACACAGGGGGTGGGGCAGCGGAGGGGCAGCCGCGGGTGGGGTCGGCCGGCCAGACCAGGCCGGGGGGCGGGGTGGCATTCGAGAGGTACTTGGGCCGAAGGGGCTGCGAGAAGGGGCGGGGCCGGCGGGGCAGTCCACGCAGAGCCCCTCACCTCTCTCCGGGCCGCTGCTCCCGCTCCCTCTCCCGCTAGCGAGGCGGCACCTCGGGCCCCGGCACCCGGGCCCTTCACCCAGGACCCACACAAAAACCGAGCGCTGCGGTGCCGGGACCCCGCTCTGCCAGGAAACAAGAAGTCTGTCGCCTATTGGCCGCGGCCGCAGCTGGCTACCCGCCGAGTAAGGCGCATTGCCATTGGTCAGTGCGCAGGGCTCCGCGCGCTAGAGCGGTAGCTGCGCCAGGACGGGTTGGGGGCTGCGGGGCCCCGCGCTGTGCCGGGCTTCCGCCGCGTCTCCACCCCAGGCGGTTAACGGTCTTCCTCCGAGAGGCGGGGAAGACAAAGCGAGCGACTGGGAAGCTGGAAGAGACTTACCTGACAATAAAAGGAAGCTGATCACCGCCTTATCGTGCCCCTCACCGTACTGTAGAATAAAATATCTGCCCACCCTGCTTCGAAGGGTCTGTCCCTGTTCTGTGCTCTGTGCTCATTGGTGCAAAAGGCAAAAAACCAAGTGGAGGATGCGGGCATCGATCCCGCTACCTCTCGCATGCTAAGCGAGCGCTCTACCATTTGAGCTAATCCCCCAGCTGGTGCTGTTCCTTTTTTTTCTTTTGTCTTACTGATTATTCTGGGGTGTCCAGTGGCTCAACTGTGATTCAGGATATCTATCTAGAAGAGTGTAATGGCACTCTGGCCAGATTTTAAAATCTAGGGATGTAATGACTACACACAAACAATACTGACTTTGAAATACCTGTCAACATAATTTTGCATTTGACGCGCAAACAAGTTTCACTGTACACTGAGTACTTAGTACATACGCGTCTTCCCCCATGTCGGCACTACCTAGGCAAAGTAAACTTTGAAGTTGAGGCGAAAAAGAATATACGAAGTCCTTCGAGCCGGAATCGAACCAGCGACCTAAGGATTACCGCAATTGATCCACTACAGTCCTCCGCTCTACCAACTGAGCTATCGAAGGCCTCGCTGCTCCCGGCGGCTGCCAGCTGCCCTCTAATTCTTACCGACACCGCCTTCTTCCGGCGTTTCGGAGGTGTTTGTCGAGCCTGTCCCTCTCTTTATCAGCCAAATGGATCCGTGAATGCCGCCTAAGGCCCCAGTTCCCAGCCGCGGACGAAGGAAACCCGGGCTATGAGCTTCTCTGACGTTTCTCTGCTTTTTACAAACGCTACCAACGCTGTGTGGCCCTTCCTGCAGGATTGCAAAGGCAAGACGAGCGGGCCACACGCTTGAGCTTGGGCGGCGCTCACCCGGCTTCGCCGCCGCGACGCGCTAGCCGGGTGGGCACAGGCGCTGGGCGGCGGGGCTGCTTCTGCTCCACGTTGCCCTCGCCTTCTCCCGGGTGCGTGTGAAATGCTCGCTCCCTCGATGCGAAGGCCTTCGCTCAGTCAGCTAACTAACGTAGGCCAGCATGCATCCGCCCTAATGGGAGCGAGAAAGATACAGGACGCAGGGCTGCTGGAGGCGAGCGGGGCGGCGTGGCCCGGGGACGCGGTGGAGGACGCGGGGTCCTGCCCTGCCAGGTGCTCCAGCCGGGGCGTTCGATTCCTCCGCAGTCCCGCGCACAGGCCCGA